CCATGGGACTCCTTCAGACACATATGGAGGTAATTTGTTCAAATTCTTCAGCAGAGAAAGAAATAAGAGTGGGGGGAAATGGCACTGGGATTTTGGGGTTGGAAATCAGTTTGAGAGGTTGGGTCTGGGTGGAGTATACATCTTTGGGGGTACAAGGAATTAGGGGTTTCTGTGGGAAATGGCTTTCATGAGCTTCAAGTTAACATTCTAGTATATGTTTAGAGATGTTATGGTAGTTGCTACATGACAGTGGCATCAAATAGAGAACAATCCAAAAAGTCTCAAGCCCCCAGAGCCTTCAGTGTTCATTAGTCCCCAAAATAATTGTTGGATAAAACCAACAGCACACTGATTGAACATTATGTTTGACCTCAGCATGTCACTAGAGAAAAGGTCACTTGTGGAATTACCACATTTACAAGGGATCTTCCCCTGGTGTGCATGACTGGGTTCAGCAGATGTCACGGCAATAAATCTTTTGCATTATGTAACATTATGTTATTTTTGTACAAGAGGAAATTTACAAATTTCATGAGGCTTTATCTTCAAGGAACCATGAATAGTCATAATAAAATAAAATAATCCAAATCAAAATTTGGTATCTTGTTGTGTTTCAAATTTCGCCAGATAATTGTGCCGGAGGAAAGCTAATGATGGGCCAAAGAATGGGTTCATCAACTGGAGAGCCTGGATGAGCCAGTCTTGGTCATCATTTATCCTCTGTGGTTCACAAATTTGTTGGGAAATCTAGTCATTGTTTTTCTGGATACTTTGTCTTGAAACAAAAATTGTTAAAATAGCAAGGTGGGTACATTTTCAAGAGTTATTAATGGGGAAGGTAAAAAGTTTGGCTGCAGAAGGTTCCTACAAAAAGAGGAAACTATGATGTAAGACTGGCCAAAAGGAAAAGCCACAAGATCAGCCAACTAAAAGGTTCTGTCCCCTGGGAACCACGAATAACCATGATAAAAGTCTGGCTAGCTCATGGAGTGTCCAAAATGAAAAAGATTCATCCGTTGTAGCGCATGAATGTGCCAATTCATTCTGAAGCCTTAGTCATCCTTTGTCCTTTGGGGTTCAAACTCAGCAGAATTTCTTTGGAAAATCCAGAAATGTGTTTTTCTGAATACCTTGTCTTAAAATAAAATCCATCAAGGGAAAATGACTTGACCTTGACCTGTTGCATGAGCCCTCATGGTGGTCATTAGGAAGAATGCTATTTCCAAGAAGTTGTTGTTGAGATATTGTGCAATGGGACAAATCATTTGTGACTGACCAATAGGCTGGCCACCATCAGCATCCTTGGACGCGGTCGCCAGCATTAAAAGTAGCTATAAAGAAGGAATGGCTTTGATCTTCCATGGCAAACACTTCAAGGGAAGTCCCACATGAGATGGATGGCTGACATATTTATGGTGAGTGGGAAAACCTCCAGGACGGAGCTAAACTGTCAACAAAACGTTGCGGCATTATAATCCAAACACTAATCACACTTTACCCTCTGTGTACATTTGACTGTTTCAGACTCAGACTCCCGGTCAGGGTAGCCCTGTCTCCCTATCAGCTGTGAGAAAGGTTGTGATGGCAGAGATCTGGCCTCCCTCTTGATGTTTACATTCTCCAGACACAGGGGGAGGATGGAGAGAGAGAGAGAGAGAGAGAGAGAGAGAGAGAGAGAGAGAGAGAGACAGAATTACTTACAGCTGCAATGCTGCAACCCAAAGTCCTCCAAGGCCGAGGGCTTCTGGGCACGGACACAACATATTATGACTAACATTAGGGTTTAAAGTAGTTTTTTTGAGGGGCATTTTGGTGTATTGTGTGTGGATGAATGAGGGGCAGATAAAGGAGACTTACATAACATGTTAAACGCAGGCTGTCTTCACCTTGGTTTTGTTTCAGTTCACTCAAACAGCTCTTGTAAACAACTAGTGTGTAGGGATTAAAGATGTGGTGTATTTCTGTGTATACACTGTGTGTTTCAGGCTGATAATGAAAGTCCTGGAAACTGATTGTGTGCCACGAGCCAAGTTAAGAAAAACTCTCGCAAAGTCAGAGAGCTTGGCATGGCTCAAAAGCCGAGGTCTCCTGGGGAGCCAGCCATCATCAACGTGTTCTGTGAATAAGAAAAACATGCCCAGTGGAATGAGGTCACTTATCAGCCAGGGCATTTGAAGGGTGTGCCTCGCTTCCTCTCAGCATCCCTCCATCTGTCAGGGAGAGGACAAATGACCTCAGCAACTACTGCCAATAATGTCATGTGGCGTCAGCCTCTATGACACGCTTTAAGTTGACCAAAGGAGCAGACAGGCCAAACTTTACGAAGTCCAGCCTTCCTAGAAGAATGAACCAGGTCAGATTTAAGCTCTTGCTTCCAACTCCTTTAACGCAAGTGAGTTTTTACAGAAAGTACAAACTGATTATTGCTGTTTTTCTTTAATAGCGAGACCAAACAAGCCACAGGAGCAACCCGAAAACAGCTCTCACACTGTAAACTCAAAGATACCCTCTAAGTACAGGGTAGCAGTGTCTAATGTGTTTGTGTGATGAGAAAATACATCAGTTTAGTCATTTAAGTGATAACAGTTGTGACTGACAACAATCTTAGTGGAAAAAGGGGTTTAATTGTGTGTGTGTGTGTGTGTGTGTGTGTGTGTGTGTGTGTGTGAGAGAGAGGGGGGGGGTGAACAAGAAAGAGAGTAAGGCATCACTTCAGAGCAACCACAACAGTGCTACAGAGTTCATGAGAAGAATTTGTAAATCACTCAGGGCAATTACTCCACAAATAATAAGGGTTCAACTGCGGGGGGGAAAACACAACAGTTTTTTTATCTCCAAACCACATGAAAAGGATTCCATTATTAGAATGTTAAGCGCTGCTGATCAAGAAAGCCTCTTTAAATCCCAACAAGAAAAATGGGTCCAGCTGAAAATGTGAAGGGGAAAAAAAAGCCCCACGGTGTGCCATTTGTTGGTCTGGTCAACACTAAAAATATACTCTGCATGCAGCCTCTTTCACTTTCAATTACAACGTAAGATATCTTTGAGAAGATCTTGCACCACTGATGGTTTAATGGAGTGGGTCAGGACTGGTTCATAAGCATAAACATTATGTCAAGCTTTTGGCAGTGGACGCAGACGTTTGTTGAACGCAGAGAGCCACACTCCTGGAATTGAAGGCCATGTTTGGTAGCAGAGGAGACTTTACACCTCAGATCAAACACGCTCCACATTAGCTTTGGAGAGAGGAAGACGCAGAGAGAGAGAGAGAAAGAAAGGAAGTTAGCACGAAGGTTAAAAGAAAACAAACACCTAATATCTACGAAAAGGAAGGGTGTAGTCTAGTACCCAATTAAGACATTGGAAAAAGTCATTTAGTGGTAGTCATAACAAGGAAACTGCTACACAACGGCGTGTCACTGCTGGGATGGTCCTAACGAGTCACGCTAGCTGAGCATGCTAACAACAAAACGCTAACTACGTTAACAGGTTGATGTTTAGCACGTTCCAACATCTGTAGTGTGTTGGTATGCTAACATTAGCACTAAGCACAAAGTACAACTGAGTTTGACACGTTTGCTAGGTATTTATTTGGCGTTATACCAAACTAAAGTAAATGTTAGCCTGTTGACGGCGCTACATGACAAGTTAATGGATCATCTTTTCACAAATGATCTTCAGGGGGACATAGCTGTGGTCGTCTATCCAATCTAACATCAACCTTAGGGTAGAGGAAATGAAGCGATTAGGATACATGGTCATGAAGGTGTGTAAACTTGACCAGGACTAGTCGAGACGGAGTCCAAAGAGGTTCGAGGTCAAGTGAAGTCTGAGTCCTTATGAGAGAGACAGTCGAGACAGAAACAAAAGAATGCTTTTGCCATTGCCAGTGAGGTGAGGTTTGGCAGCCATGATTGGCCGCCAGGTAACCATGGTTAGGTGACCAGGTAAGCATGGTAAACCAGGCGGCCAGTGTCAATGACCAACTAGAATATCTGGTTAGACCCAGAATGGCAGAGACAAGTGTGAGTGCAAATACCAATGAGTTTACACTCAGGTCTGAGGCTAAACTTGAGCACTACAGCGCAGGTGCCAGCCTGTGTAGTAGATGTTGAAATATTTCACTGGATAAATTAAAATTTTTGGCCTGCAGGTGTTGGTAGATGAGAAATCAGTGGATTGTCAGTCATTAAGTTTCATTCACCAGGGACCGTGCATGGATATCTGTACCACATAAAGCCAACATTGCCATCCCTACAGCTACAAACAAATAATACAAAAAAATTAACTAAACACACACTCTGTAGGGTGTAGTCTTGTGCCCAATTAAGACCCTGGAAACATTTAGTGTAGTCATAACACAAGACAGCTGCTACACAATAGTATCATCCCTGGTGTGGTCATAAAAACAAAACACATTTTGCAGCTTATTAAACTAATCAACTCTAATCTCCTTCTGGGCAATGTGCCTGATCCACAGTGAAATCAACCAGCTTAGGATACCATGTGAACACACTGACCCAAAACCCAGCTCATGATATGCTGGCACATACAGTAACTTTGAGTTAGATGGTGCAACCTGTAGATGGTCTACAGGTTGCACCATGAACCTGGAAAGACTGAATAATGTTTCTGTAGTTTATTCAGGTTTTGTGTGGACATAGTGGTCTACAAGGTTCATACAAGACACCAAACGCAAATTATATTACTTCTAAGCATTCTCATATGTGAATGTATTTTGCCACTCTGGCATACTTTCTGTGTGGAGTCTATATTATTTCAGAGAGCCATTGGGGAGAGGGGTTAAAGCCTGGAATGTATACTATTTCCCCACAGGAAGCGGAGCATGGAAGTCTACCATTACCCCACGCCCAGATCTCTCCATTGCACGCACAGTTGGCTGGCTACTGAATTATAGTACAAAAGTCAGAGATTCTTATGCATGTATAACACAAGTCATGTATGACGCAAAGAGTAAAATAAACATCACAGTACACTGCTCTTGATCTTTTGTGTTTTATTAAAGACATTTTATCTTTGATACGTCTTGGTTTCATTGTACAACATTTCACGACATTACAAAAATACTGAAAGGCGTTTTTTTTTATAAAAATGTTCTGAAGCTGTCTGTCTTGAGAGCTTTGTTTTTTTTTTATAAAACTTAATATTCACAAGTTGTCAACGTTCCTGCAAGACATCTGCCACGCTTTGCCTCTTGAAAGCAGCATGTTTTACATTTACACAGGTCTCAACACAAAGTCATAGTGGGTGTTTCTTCAAAAGATATACTGTATTTACACACATGATACAGTACTGTACAATTTATGGTAGCATGCAGAATGTTCCGATGCTGAATATAGTAGATTTTTAAGACATGTATTAAGAAAAAACTAGTTTCCCTACAAACGTCAGATCAAAGTTTGTCTGAATCACTGAGTGAGGATGATGCTGTCAGTGGTTTTAAGTATTTTTTTTCTTCTAAAAAGTTGATTACATGACTGCAAACATATTAGCATCATTATTACTTTAAAACTGGATCACAATATAATGATTTTCACCTATCATAATGCAGAGCGTCATTACCAGGCCTATTGTATTACTTTACAAGACTTTATGAGATATAAAGTAGGTACAATGTGCCCAAATAATGAATTGTTTACTTTTTTATTTGCTTAATTGTGCTTTTGGTGAAAAGCCTCTATCAGAACTGCTCTAGGAAGTCACTGTGTAGCAAACAGTATATCACAGGATTTCTCAGTGATGTGAATCATCACTATGATTAATAACAGTAAAGTACACGTACTGTATGTGATGCTTTTTTTCCACAGTGATCCTATCTCGAGTTACATGTGTCTGTTGGAGCAGGTGCCTGTTCTCTGGCTGGAGAAAGGCACACTTGTAGGCTATAAACACTGAAATATATAGACATGACATTAAGACACACTAGCACGCTCACAGAAAGGCCTCACCCCAACACACACAGACATAAACACACATCATACGCACGGGACACACACTCTCACACACACACACGCTCTCACCTAACACATGTGAGCACCCGTCTGGTACATATAACAGACTGTCATTTCATTAAATGGCTCAGTGGGGGCTCGTCCTACCCAGCAGAAAGAGGCCCACATCCAACACATACGCTCTTCACTGTACTTTCCACCTACTGTAACTTATGTGCACATTATAAGAAACACTACATTATGGACATAATAAAAGTTTACAAAGTCTTACAAAGCTTTCCAAAAGCTTCACTTCAGGTCATTCAAGTGGTGACAAACAGTACTGTGTTTAGCTAAAATAGTGCTATAAATCACACATAAAATGCTTGTTTGTAATAAAACCAAACAAAAACAACATCCTTTATGGAATCAAGGAATTTGTTTTTTTGTCGTTTGTACTAGTCACACAGTGAGTGAGTGGCAGGAATATTAGCACAGCTCCCGTTGCTGGATGCAGCTTAGGGGAGAAAGGCACAGAAGCCACACACAGCTTTGTTTACAACTGCAATTTCTCGGTTTTGTTTGATTTCAGACTTTTGTCCATGTAAAGGCCTTGCCAGAGGCGGATCTCCAATAATCTTCATAACAGAAGAGGAACAAATAACCCTGGTCCTCTCTCTTTTCCACATTAAAATGTCTGGTGAGACTGAGGAAAAACATGACTTTCCATTGAGAAAGCAAAACTTGCTTGACTGTTTTCCACTGCCTCTTCTCATTCTCTGAGATGTTCAAGATTCCATATTTGTCTGCATTATCCCGATTGTTGGAGTTTATTTCATCCAGTATTGGCCAGTGGCTGTAGTAGTGATTCAGATGGCACAGGTCAGGGTTATGTACATTCAGTTTGCAGTCTTCTCTATGCCATGATGAGATGGTTGCTCCGCTCTCTGATGTCTGCTGGAGGAACAAGATCTTTCTTCACTGGGGTTGGTGACAGGGTAGAGCGTCTACCTTTGGGCTTGAACAAATCAGACACAAAGAATACCTGTGGAAGGAATAGAAAAGAACCTTAAATGTCTCAATCATTGCAAAGTGGAACACTGCATATCAGAATGAATGCTGTTACCAAGAATTAGAACAATGCAGAAATAAAACGAAACACTTCATATATTTATTGTTTCGTTTTATTATGCCTCCTGTGGTCCAGAGTAATGCCACTTCCTTTCCTTTGCAGATACAGTATGGAGTCCCTCGGATCTCCTACTCCATTTACATACCCCCTCTCTACAATATAACTTGATTAATTTGTTTCATCGTAATGCTACCAATCCCCAATTGTATGTACCTGTTGACTGCAATGATTCAAGCAGCTGAGATAAAAATGTTTTTTAAGAAACTTGCTTAATTCAATGAAGAAAAATCTACACAACATCCTGGTAATATTGCCTTCCTCGAGCATCTGTAGGAAAACCTCAATAACCTGACTTTTTCATGTACAATTAATGGTTGAAGCCTGTTTTTACTGTATATTCAAGACACATTGTTACAGTATCATTTTCAGATACAGAGAAAAACATTATTCCCGCTTTTATTTCTTCACATTTGGATCACTGCAACTTTTTGTTTTCATGCTTTGGGTGTTATGCACACTCCTGTCTTAACGCTTCACATCACAAGAACAGAGAACAAGAAAGAAACATATGTCACAATTTTTGGATCCGTGATAAGTCTTGGATTTTAGAATTAAAATCAAAATTATTTCACAGTTAATGCCACTCAAATTCTTTTTTCATTTTCTTCATTTAATCTAATATAGATTACAACATTACAACGTAATAGGTCCACTCACTATGCAGTAGGCCACCAGGGCTCCCTGCACAAAACCCGCCAGCACATCAGTGGGGTGGTGCTTGTGATCAGAGACACGGGACAGGCCGGTGTAGAAAGACATCATGATGAGGGTGAACTGGGTCAGAGGGCGCAGCAGGCGAGCTCCATGCCAAGTGAAGCGAGACTGCAGGTAAAACTGGAAAAGAGACAGATAGAAGCTCTTAATTGTTGAGGGAGGGAAATTTGTTTTTAATATGGTGTGTATTCATGCACGGTACAGCGTGTGTGTGTGTGTGTGTGTGTGTGTGTGTGTGTGTGTGTGTGTGTATGTTAAAAATGATTTAGTAACTCACCACCAGGTAAAGCATGGTGTACATGGAGAATGATGCATGTCCTGAGAAGAAAGACTTCCTGAGAAGAACAGGGAACAATTAGCACACAGCTTACAATGTAAAAGCGATCACTAGTCAAAATGACTGCAAACATATTTAAAAATATTTGGCAATTACCTGGCCTCCTGAACTTTGCTCTCTGGCCCTTGACACTGGTAGTCAGTGATGTAGCCCAGGGAGCAGTTGATAGTGGAGAAGTCAGGTTTGCACACATCGAGGAAGTGAGGGCGCATGCGGCCCACTGAAACTTTGGCGATGTCAGTGAAGGACTGGCTGATGGCACAGCCGAAGATGAACACGCCCACCTGCTTGTAGAGAGCAGAAATGTAGGGGTTCCCCACAAAAGACTTGGATCCCTCATTCAGAAAGTAGATCCTGTAGCTCTCCCCAATGATGATCTGAAGGGACAGAAGGGATGGACAACCTCCGTGAATATCGAATATAATTTTGACATATTCCCAGTCCCAGTGTCCACCCTAATTGACATCAATGCTCAGTGAAAATGTGTGAGTGCAGGAGAGCCAAAATATTTTATGAGGAATGGAACAGCACTTTGACTTCATATGTGTTACTCATTATCTAAATACAATAATACCCTAATAAACTTGTTCTTGTAAGCTCTTTTTTCATCATTTCAGACATCCCTTCTCATCACTGTTCTTAACATTAGAACACTGTAAAACTGGGACTACCAACTTTGTAAGAGGTCATTATCTACAGCAAAGTCTGGAGCATTACAGAACTACTGAACATTTTTAGAAAAGGCCTATGTTTGAAAGGTCCCCCAAAAAAAAAATAATAAAGTGTGTGATTCAGATAGGGTGGACATTTGGGACAGGGCTATAGAGAAGTATGATGGTCAGAGTTGAGAATTACAGTTATGTATGTGTGTGTGTGTGTGAGAGTGTGTGTGTGTGTGTGTGTGTGTGTGTGTGTGACAAAAATAACTTTTTTCCAGATCAAGATGTTATTAAGACAGCTAAAATAGGAGTCAAAGCTTTCTCTTGAAGTGGTTTGAGAAGGGCTACTTTATAGTTGAAAGTGTTTACCTGTGCCATTCTGCTTGTGAGAGAAAACAGTGTGGCAACTTGGGAGGCAACTCAAACTGTCTGCGACGTATAGTTTTCTGTAAATGTGTAAATAAACCACCGTCTAAAACCGACGATTGACGTGTAAGGCGCACTTAGGGGGAGGTGGATAGTTATAACTCGCAACAGCTGTTCAAGCTCAAAACGCACCTTCCCAACCCCCTCATCCCCTGTTGTCTTCCAACAGCTCACAAATGAAAGTGTGGAAGAGGAGTCAGAGAGTGTGGGGGAGTTCCAGGGAGAAAGTGAAGGGATGGAAAGCAGAGTGACAGGATGGGAGGATAGAAAGCAAAACAAGTATGTGAGAAAAGAAAGGAGTCACAGGACAAGAAGAGTGCAAACGAGGAGAAAGATAGAAGAAAGAGGAAGGTGAGAGGAGGAATGAGTAGTGGAGTGGGAGGGGAGGGGGGGCGGAGTGGAGGAGGCACCGCTGGTTCTAATCAGCAGAAACGCTGAGCTAGGCGACGTGTCTGATTTTGGTAGCCAGACTCCACCAGGCGCATGTCGGGGGCACGTTTGTTTTTCACTGCTTCGGCTGTCTCTCTGAAACGGCTCCGATTTCACAAGGGATTTCTGGCTGTTTTCATGTTAGTATCACGGTTTCATCAGACATTCTTTTGAGGGGCGCAGAAATAAGTCTCATTCTGGAAAACACTCTATGCGGAGGGATAGCCTTTATGGAGATTGGACAAGCTGATAGAGTGTGTTGTTTCCACCATCCAGGCCTTTAGAGCCAGCTCGATAAAGCCCAGCTGCTTTCATGGGAAAGAGGGAAGGGGGAAAACACACATCTGGTTCCTCTTGTGTGAACGATTTAACTATGTGAATGAATAAATGAATTGGCATTGCAGGATATGTAACTGTTGCACTGAAACCTCAAGTGATAATCATGGGGGCAGGACGCTGATTTGTGGCTTATGTCAAATGTCTTGTATTTCCAAAATGACACCATGGTGTTTTCATTTCTTCTAAAAAGGCTCTGCATAAATTATAAAGGATGGGGCCTCTTGTGTTTCTCAGCTCTATTCAGAGAGAAATGAAGCACTAAATGACCTAATGTTGGTGTTTTCTGGTTCAGAAAACACAAAGGCTGGCCAGAGCACTCTAGAGGGGTCACGTTTTGCCGGAGGAAAATTAGATATCTGGCAATGTCTTCTTGTTTGGAGCTTTCACCACAATTCCACCCCACCAATTACAGTATTTAACCGAACAACCATTGCGTCAACCATAATTACACGGAGCCAAAACTCCTTCTCACCATGAAAACCCCTGTGGCCCCAAGCCCGTATAGTAGTCTGCTCTCCAGGAAGAGGGCACGACTGGCAACAGGGAGAGGCAATGGGGAATTTAGGGCACCTTCCCCCTGGGGGTCTGCTAGGTGACAACTGCACATGCTAAGGCAGTGCTGAGTAACACCACAGAGCAACTTGAATGTTTCTGAAGAATTCAAGTGTGCCTGCTGCTTAGTGCATGTCCCAATGCAATGTGGCAGCTAATGTGTTAGTACCTGTTGAGACATTGTTAGGTGTAAATGTCCAGTGTTAGGGTAGCTAGATGGTTGCTATATAGTCGCTGTTAGGGTGTTAGCAGTGTGTTTACAGGTTGTTCAGGATGGTTTCTATGGTGTAACAGTCTAATGGTTGATTAAGTCGAGACTGATAACAATGGTGACTTTGCTGTTGCCATCTTGTCTACACTGGTCACAGCAGTGTTTTGAGAGAGTTCAAAGGCCAGTACACAATCAAGTACTTAGACCAACAAGGGGTTGAAAGAACACTTTGGGTCGCAGTTATCTGTGTTAGCGGAAATGCCAGCCATTATGGGGCCGCGCAGACAGATGCATTACTGAAAACTGTGGCAGGAAAACACCGGACCGCTGAACTCCTTTGAACCTCTGAACATTGGCAAACGGAGAAAAATGAAATGGAATTGTAGGATGTTGGGATGACCGTTTAGTGTGCAGATCTCGGGTACATCTTCACTGTTTTCTCCCAGGAGAATGCAACAAACTACTCAACACTTCACTTACTCAAGTGCCTTAATCAACCGAGGCATCTTAAGCCCCCAAAGAGAAAGCCTTGAACAAATGTTGTTGATTGGTTTTTATCTAAATGTGCTGAAGCCGATCAGAGGGACTGATGGACACAGGTATGGGGAGGTGTTGTTTCAGTAATCATGCAGGATAATCAACTGTCAGATAAAGCCCTCTGATGGAGTGTGCACAAGTCTATTTCTCTAAAGATGAGTGCAGGAGGAATGTGCATAGTTTGGATGGGAAAAAAAACACAAACACATTTCATTATAATCAACAACTTCAATCAACAGTCTAAAATCTATACATCCTGACCATATTATTATATATTGTTAGAAAACCTACTGTTATAAACAAATTAGAAGTGCTATTAGAAATACTACAATGCACTAGGGATGAGAATTTATGTTGTTAACATCTTACATAAAGTGTCAGTGGCTGCTGCTAGTGATGGTGAAGGCTGCTGAAACATAAGACGTGATAAAGACATTAGTGATCAGAGTGAGGTGACTTACAGAGAGGATGGTGATAAGAATGCCAGCAGCGCTAAGCACACCGTCACTAATGGTGTCTCCCTTTTTGGCCGGGTACTTGATGGACTCATCATCGCAGTAAAACCCTCTACGGTAAGGCTGAACAGCGCTGGTCTCAATGACCAAGAAAGGCAGGCCGGCTAGTGTGAAGAAGCAGTGAGCGGCACAGAGAGAAAGAGGGGGGTGGGAATTGGTGAGGGAGGGAGGGAGGGAGGGAGGGAGAGAGAGAGAGAGAGAGAGATGGAGGTGCTGGGTTAATGATACGCAAATTACAGAGATTCCGGGTACAAGCGAGAGGAAACAAGGGAACATCTGGGACTGGCTCAATCCATTAGGAGGTTGTTATCTGTGACTAACTCCAGATTTGTTCAATATTCAATATTAGTGGCATCAGAACCTTTTACGGGACCATAACTGTGTGTATGTTCATCACAAATCATTTATGCTTTGCTTCCCTTCGGGCCATTTTCCAAAGCACATCACATGTTTTTAGTCTGAACTCTATCGCTGTAGGCTGCCATCGGTTTGCATTCATTTCCCTATCAAATGAAAATGAAGCGCCTGACATTTGGAAGTAAAAGGAACCTAAGATAAACTTTTAGTCAGCTCACATTTCACCGTCATCATCTGGCAATTTAAGTGAACTTAGTAATGGAAACTAGCCTATTCTTTGTGACCAAGATTAGCAATCCCCATTACCCAACAGAAAATGCAAGAGCCTTAATTTATTTGTAACACGCTTATTTTAACTAAAATACTTTACCTATTTAAGGTTTCTTTTTGGACTTTCAGCAGCATCTTTAGACCTTCATCAGCAGATGGGATTTGCTCAATTGTCATGAAAAGTTGTTGCATCTTCCTAACAGCAGAGTAAACTCCACCTGCTGATGAAAACCAGGAGATGTGGCTGAAAGCTTTTAGAAAAATCTGAAAAAGTCAGTGGTATTGAGTTGAGATTATTTTGTCAAAATACCAGAGCTGAAATAATTAGATGATTAATCCCCCAAACCCAAGTGTTTAAATATGACAATCTGCTTGTAGCCAGCTAATTGTTTTCACATAAGAGCTTAATTGAAGGGCATTTCACTAGTTTTATTAAAATATAAAATTACATTATTTGAGACAGCTGCATCTTTACAAATGACTACTTTTAAGGTCAAGAGGGAATCTTTGGTATTTTCACTTAATAAATTATTTTAGCAGCTATTTTTCTTATAGTAGTGAAATAAATGGAAAGTCAATGGCTGTCACAGCTCAATCTGAAAGCTTAGGATAATATACATTAGCTGTGGAAAATGGTTGGGAGTAATGTACAGCATGCAAAACCACTCAGTGAGTGAGTCGGAGTCTGTCGAACCAATCATGTCTTTTAAGGTGTCACAAGCCAACCACTGGATGAATTGAGTGTCCCAACGTATGCTCTCTAGTTCTCTTGCAGTACCACAGCAGGACTTACTGAGACCACGGGCACAGTGACGCCCACGGCTGTGAGCATGGTGGTGGACACCGTGCTGCTCTTATAGGTCAGCCTGATGCTGTTGTCATTGCAGAAGAATCCTCTCTGGTAAGGCGGGAAGGGAGATTTGTGCAAAAACACGGCAACAAGCAACACTGTATGGTTGGACACACACGGGCAGAGGTCAGACAGCTTTAGACCAAAACAGTGGACCGCTGCATCAATAGACATCATTAACAGGAAGACAAATATGAAAGCACACAAAGACAAAAATCTCAGACAGTTGTATAAACAGCTTAAAAACTCACAGCAGACAGGCATTCAAGCTATGGATCTAATCCTGTTTTAAAAACTGACACTGATGCTGTCATGAGAAAATGAGACAAAATAAACAAAATAAAATTAATGTCAGAATTAAAGCTACGTCATTGTTTTAGACTTAAGTGAACTTTTTATGGTTAGAATAACATCAACTGATCTCAAACTGGCTGAGTTAGCGCTAAGGAGGGTTGCATGTGACATGTTTTGAAGAGAGACCATTGCAGCTTAGTGACAAGAAAAAAAACCCCCACAAACACTATCAGACTCTTCCTTCCTTGCCTGCCGAGGCTTTCAAGTGCACTTAAAAAGGCCCACTTTAAGATGCCTCGGGGGGTGTATGTGTCTGATCAATTTAGTGTCTTTCGCCACTTAAAGTGGCAAAAAGATCTTATTTATCTCCAGACAACAAACACAGAGTGGGTGTAACTAAGATGCGAGCCAAAAAGGACAGCTTATTTTCCCCATCTACCAAAGGCTTCAATGTAGGACTTTGAAATTTGAGTGTGGTGGACGTGGTACCCAGGAGAGGCCTCCAATCTCTGACAGAATTTGGAAAAACACACTTTCAAATCACTTCAAAGCTGCATTTAACTGATGACAGAGCTTTAAAGTCTCTCTTTGAATAATTCTGCGATCTGCCGATACAAAGGAAAACAAACATCAGCGCTCTATTTCTAATGTGCCCCTCTTCCTCTGGCTCTCTGTCTCAAAAGCTAAAAAGCACTGGGGTGTAGAGGTCAGTGCTGAGAGCTGCTGAAGGCAGGATGGTTGTGGTGGCAGTGGGGGGGGGCATGATTTCTCAAACCAAATGTCAACACACGCTTCAGTTGCTGAGCCCCTCAACCCCTAACATCCACACACAGCTGACTTTGGCCTTTGAAGGTCCAGCTGGGTTGAGCTCAGGTTACAGACAGAGCTCTGCTGCCTGATGGGAACTCCAGAAAGCTGGCATTCCCTCCACATTCAGCAGGATTCACATTATTAACTTTCTCATTTTCATTCTTGCTCTTCAAACAAATACCTGGACGGGGCTGCACTCAGCTCCGAAAGCAAGTCTGGTGGCGAGAGAAAGACCAGGGTGGTATGTCTTAGAGTTCTGTAACTATAAAAATATACAGTTCTTTACAGTGTGTTAAATCCTCAATGTCTGATTCCTTCAGTTTGCTTAGCCTGGCCATGAACAGAGCTACACAGGGCTTTCTAAAACTTGGGCTGCCCAAACAACAATAAAAACGCATACGTGTCTGAAAGTGCTGGATGGGAAACACGTGAAGTCCTGACCCCTGAAAATGCCTATAAACTCTTTAGCAGACCCCATGGGGGAGGCAGAGGGCAGAGATTGATAGAGAGAGGCAGAGAACTTGCAAAATAAATGAAAAAGTGTCCACAGTTAGCCTTTAAGGGTCCTGCACGGGTCAAGTGCTTCAAACAGCTGATTGGAAAGAAGAAGAAAAAAACACAACCACAACAAGACACTGTCAGGTCCTGTTTTCCAGACATTCAAGCAGGGTTTTTTCCTCCTCCGCGCAGTCCTCCGACCCCTTCCATCCGTCTAAACAGTGCGGCATCAGCATCGAGTACAGCGTGTTAGGGTTTTTCCCCTCCTACCCTCTTCCTCCTTTCCCGCTTCTAACGACTGGGGGGGAGAGGGAGGGTGTCCTCGTCTTGCCAACAACAACACCAGTCAGCAGGCGTGGGGATGTCTTTTGCATTAGCTCAACATCAACCCAAAGACAACAGAAACAAACAAAATGGAATTGGAGCTGGAGGGAGATATTTTCCCCCCAACTTTCGGTTCCTAATGTCAACATCAGGTGTCTTCTGTTCAATTTTACCCTGAAGCAGATTGATTAACAATCAACCAGGGAACCCTAACTGAACATAAACAAACACTGTAAATGAAGAGCGATGATGACTTTTTCAGCACATTACTGAGTGCTGTCGCACATCAAAATATGGGAGAAAACTTAGAATTTCCTACGCTTGCCCGTTAGCCTTTCCCCCAGTTCAGCACTGGCAGCTCCATGTAGCTGCAGTTTGTGGAAACTAGAATCAATGTATAAGCCTCATGCTGAATTAAATCCCCACCATATTTTGGAGGCATTTGCCAAAACACCACAGTGTGACTATTAAAATAAACAGACGCACATTTTCCACTTGCAGGGATCTCTCCCTGTCTGGCATAGAAATGTATACACGTCTGAGGTAGTTGTGGTGTATACACAGATGCAGTTGTTTTTACTCTTAGCAGCCCCCACACAACCTACCCCCTGTCTGTCTGTCTGTCTGTCTGTAGATCCCGCCTGCTGCAAAACTTAGCTCATAGTTCCACCGTGGAGGGGAAACCAGGTCTGCCTGCTTGGGTTAAATAAAAGTGCATTTGCATTCAACTGCTAGTGGCCAGAACGGCTGCTTTTCTTTCCGTTTTTCTGCTCCATTTATTATTCACTTTTCTAAAAGGAGAGGCTTTACAGACGAGGAAGTTTACATATCCGCTATTCCCATAGGCCGCAAAATATGCGCCAACAGAAATAGTGATGCTGACAATACATTGGCACTAACAATACATGTATGTACATACAAAGACAAATGCATACACATCAATTTCATATATAAAGTACACTTAGAAAAATAAGGCAGACATTATTCAGTACCAGCGTTGGAAAATGTTCATACTGTGGATCAATTCATTCTGAGGTTAGCTCAATTTAAGCATTTGAAACAGCAGAGATATTATGTCTTCTATTATTATATTATATGATATTAAAATGCAATAAAAACGTATCACATGTAACTCTCACACCCGTTTCTTTTGATGACTTTGACTGATTTTACTTGAATTAAGATGTTCAAAAACAATCTTGAGACCCAATTGGCTGTGGAGATGCAGATTTCTGTTTCTGTTTTATTTGCTTAAGTTTTGAGATGTTTGAGACTACCCAAACATAAATATCACAAGCATTAGACCCCACCAACATTACAAAAGCTTTGTGAACTAACCATTAAACTCCAACTGTATGAACTGTTTACCCGGTTCAACATAAAAAAACAAGGGTCTATGTTCATTAAACCTAAATAGCTGCAATAGTTGCTGATTAGCCACCTTTAAACTACTGCTGAACCAGAAAAACAGAACACGGAAACAGTATAAGACGATTAACTGAAAAACATGAAAGCCACCTGCTACGGCTTAATGTAAACTGAACCTGATCACCTCATCTGGGCTTCAAGGAAACAAAATAAATAACAGCCTTCTGCTTTCCTCGGTATTATTTGTCAGGATCCAGTTCCAGTCATCTCTGAATCAAGGTAAATTGTTCTTCTAGTGTAGTGACCAATGTTATCTTTACTGGCACTGATGGTCTCCTGGGAAAGGAGAGTTCATTTGCATGAAAGAGCAGGAGAGTGATATCACTGCACGCAGTAATACGAGAACTGCAATCAGTGTGTGAGAATGGAGGAGTGGCGATTACCAGTACAGACCAACCATTTCCTCCCTGGGGCTTCTCTCCTTACACCACATCTTAAACAGAAAAAAGCTGCTGGTTTGTTGACAAGCTTCTCTGTGGGAAGCTATGTACATAGAGAGCAAATCATGGGGATTTACCCTCCATAGTCCATAGACAAAAACTAGACCAAAAGTAAATATAGATTGTCAGAAAAAGACTGTTTATACTGTAAATCTTTCATCGGATTGTTTCAACAAAAGCTCGACTGGTGCTTTTCCCATGGAGTTGCAACAATTTTGTTTTATACAAGAAGACAGCTTTGTAGTTTGCAGTGATGTTCACACACACTGGAAATATGTGGTTACAACAAAGAATTAAAAAAAAAAAAAAAAATTGTGACATTTGTGAATGGTCAAAGGTTTAAGCCCCAAGGACTGGCAAAACCCTTAGTAGGACTTTTGGGTTCAAACTTCTAACAACCTTAACTCAGTGTTTGCAGCTGGTGAACATCATAGGACCTGAGCTGATCAACATGAACACACTCAAGTCTGACCTTTTCACCACTTCCCTTAATTACTCCACACACACACACACACACACACACACACACACACACACACACACACACACACACATCTATATTATGCCAGATGTTGAGATCAAGAGAATTCCTGCTGGTGTGGAATGTGAGCCATTCTGGAAAATATAATGAGGAGTCAAAGGAAGCAGCGGTACAGTACAGGTGTGGCTGGAGACCAAAGAAATAAATCCCTCCAGGAGCAATTTATTACTTTCCTCCCCTGCCAGCACTATTATTTTGGAGGGTGGGGGCTGAGAAAAACAAGACTTCCACAAGCTAACGTTAATCTAATTTTTAGAAAATATGTATTTTAATAGCTGGTAGTGCTACATGTGTATGCTGCAGTGAGTAGTGGGGCATCACTTGTTGCTTAGGTAACACAGCTCGTCGAGCTGGTGCAGCTAGCTGAAACATCTTAAACACTTCGGCTAACTAAAGTGTTTAAATATGATTACTAGCTTTAAATTAGTAGTTCAGTATCTTCATAGCTTTAATTAAATTGTATTTCTTTTGAAGCATAATAGGATATTTTATTACAGCAGTTAAATATCACAAACTAACGTTATAACTTAGGAATATCATATTATAACGTTAACGTTAGCTAACTAACCTACATGTAACGTTAGTGAAGCTACCCTATGGCATATACATATATAATGAGCTGAGGAGAGAAAAAAAGCAATTTAGTTTAAAGTCCTGTAAAGATATAAGTTACCTTACAATGACAAGGGGAGATTAATAAAGCCATAAATGCACTGTTGAGTATTAAAAGTGGTCGTAGTAAGATGCTACAGGTTACTGATGAGGCTATTTAACACACAGTGGGGCTCTTACCTAGGAACAAACAGAAGAGGTCCACTCCGACCAGCAGCTTCCTCCTGCTGTGGTCTTTGCAGTTATTGTTGTTCAGTGAACTCCCGCCGTTCCTCGTCTCGGCTGCCATAGTTTTCTCATATATCAAACAGCGTTGCATTTAAAACGCGTTACGTGGTTCAAATAAAAAAGGGAATAAAATCTTGTCACTAGCTGTCGCAGTGCTGCGTTTACTTTATTTTCTACTAAAAGTGGCTAGCGAATCTACTTAAATCCCAAGGAGGAGTAGTCATGCAAGTCTGTACTAATATTTGTCTATTCAGAAAATACGCTGTTTCAAGATGTAACCACTAGTTCCGGTCTCTAACAATTACAGCTCGCTTTCTTCCAACTTCTAACCATCCTTTACTACTTTCCTTGGGTTAGTGCGGAGTCCTGTGACAGCCTTCCAAGAAAGCCACTCCTCCAGCGCCTCCCCTTTCAATTAATGCCATATGGCAGCTCCTTCACACAGGCTCACTCCCACACTCACCTCTGGGTGCCGCAGGGTGGGGGATGCCCGCTGTAACACGGCAATAACAACGGGGATTTCACAAAGCAAAGTCAGCCAGAGAACAGTGAAAAACATCCAGGGATGGGAGCACACGTTGTACATCTGTGTGGTCAGTGGGTTTTTTCACAAGCACTGTTGTTTTCGACTGTAAAGTTGTAAATTGGTGAGCAGTCTGTGGAAAACCAACCAACTAAAAATGACAAGATTTAATACAGACTGACATTCTGCACACCATGACAAATGGAAACTCTGCTGTGCTGCAAGGATGATATATATATATATATATATATATATATATGCCACATTGACCTTGCTGATAAGAAGCAGGATGGAGGAATCGGTTATCTCAGGAGTGAATGACTTTGTTATATGTAGGTCTGCAGTACACCATGCACAGTATGATTGCTCCAGCAGCTTCAATCAGCGAGAATGCCATAAAAATAAAATCAAAAGCAAAAGTCAATGACAAATATTTATTTGTTGTAAGGCAAAAGGCAAATTCAAAGAAATATGTTCAAACAAATCCTTAAATGTAAGCTACTACAAATTAACAGCTGGCTACTTACAGGTCATTGTCATTTATTTTGAGTAAAGAGCAATGATTCAATTTGTGCTCCAATAACAGTGACATCGGAGAAAAGAACAAAGTGCAGAACACAATGTGAAAATGTACCAACAGGCACAACAAAACAAAAGGGTGAAATCAGAATTATAGTACAGTCACATCAGCAGCTCTCTTTCTGATGGTTTCTTCCACTGTAGAGGGTTAAACGAGGGTATCAAATCTCAAAAGTTCTTTATACTGACAGTCCCTATTTTACTCCATGTAGTGATCAGAAGGTGTCAGCATATAGCGGTGGGGGAGGAAGAAGCTCCAGCTCTGTGAAGTCAACCTCCTGTTCACTGTCATACAAAACACAATGGGACATCACAGTTCAAGAGCAGGATGCCAAAGAACCTGAAGTACTGCGAGTACTCTGCATTTATAAATAAAGATCAAACAGAGCCTCCCATGTTGATTAGAAGGAAACCATCAACACTTACGGATATGGAGGCTCCTCCACAGCACACAAGAGGTCTGGATGAAGACAAGCAGATACAAATGTCACATTAACTTTGAACTGTCTCAGCAACCAGTCCTGCACCATGTCTCCAGGTTACAGCACTCAGATAGAAGTTATTTTCCACTAGAGGCAAGACGCCAACCAGTGTTGAGACTGTAGCGTCCTCAAAGAGATTTGTAAGTACCCTCCTCTTCAAGTTCACCGTTATCAGTGAGAGTGATATTAGTGGTGACAACAGTGGAGTCATGGAAACAATGAAACTCTGAACTTACTTGGTGGCTCAGCACTTTTTGTAGGATAGAATGGAAAGCGGAAAAAAAGAAAGGTCATTCACACATTTTGAATATGACAACATCAGTGGACTTTAAATAAGGTAATGATAGAGGTAATGGATAAGAGAATACTGTACTTGGTCGGGGTGGCTTCTCCACTGTCACCAAATTCATCTTTGCTGTGTTGAAAGAAGATGGCTAGTTTCTGCAGGGCCTCGTGTCTGGTCCTAAAGGTTGAAGACAAGAGCACAGTAAGTTCTTCTTTTACTACTAGAACTCTTACTTCTCATATCCATCAATGGCCTACAGGGGGCGAGGAGCACCTATACAATATATTAGAATCCAATACAGTAACCCTAAAATAATTGCTACCTCATTAGGCTTATGATGATTTGTCCAAGAGTTGCTGATACCCTGTACATGTTCCAACAGGAGTACAAAGAACAAAGCTGATGATAACACAATTGCCCCAGAATCACTGATTTATTGTTTTGGAGTCATTTTTCAAGACAAAATGACCAAAATTTCAGCTTCTCAAATGTGAAACATATTTTCTGGTTTCAGTCCTTTGTGACAATAAAGTGAATATCTTTGGGTTGTGGACAAAAGATGACATTAAGGACGTCACCCTGGGCTTAGGGAAACAGTGATCAACATTTTATGACATTTTATGGACCAAAAAACTAATTGATTAATAGAGAAAATGATTCCCAGATTAAGTGATAATGAAAATAATCAAGGATGCAGCCCTAATGTCATTCAAATCTGGTAACATCGACTTGGAACCACCCTGATTTTAACAAACTTTTTGGCCCTTCGGTGTAGAGATGGCAAAACAATTAGGCAAGTTAAATTGCCACTATTTTGCTGATTCATTGTTAACATCATCAACAAAAATAAAATCAAGAAAATAATCACAATAATCTGAAAAGTTATCAAAAATCCACTGTTAGTTGCAGCCTTTGTTGGTGCGTCCCCCTATTTGTGTCTTCCAATGCACAAAATATTGTCTTAGTCTCAACTATAATCTAACCAAATAGCTTTTCTTCCTTCCAAACCAATGTGTAATGTTCCCCAGTATGAATGTGTTTAGATCTCCACATTTTCTTCCCCTTTTCCAATGTTTAATATTTAGTTACTCATGAAGAAACACTGTATATAGGTATGCACATAAATGATATTTGCACCAACTCCGCCTTGTGAAGAGGTGGATGTTGAAAGGTTTATGTACATTTGGGTAAGCAACAGAATGTGCCAAGGTATCTGCTTTGACACCTGTGTGTTTAAGACTCACTGTGTGTGTAGGTCTTCCAGGTTGGCATCGCTCAGAGTGTGCTGGGCGCTGACATGGCCACATGCTGTCAGAGCGAACACATAAGGGGCAGAGGTAGGTGGGTGGGGATCGGAGGGATAGGGGTGAATTATGTAAAGACAGTAAGACAGAGGGAGGGAGAAAGTAAACGGCCTGGTAAAAATGTACATCAAAGGCATGTTACAGTCTGCCATACGTCGATGCACAACATAAAACCACTAAACCAGAAGGCTGAGAGGGGGTGAAAGAAACATCTTCTGTTCATGTTTGCACTTCTAAAAAGGAGTAGATATAAAATATACTCACACATGTCAGACATTGAGGCAGTCTGCTGGGGGAAGCTACTATACAGAATGAAGAGAAAGAAAATAACTATATAGACTGTGTGCCCCATCAATTTAAATCATAGGGAAAAAGTACTCAATAGTTTCTGTCATTCTTCTTTAAGCCACAGTAAAGGACAGTAAACATATCAGTCTTACTGGCTTTCAATGGAGGGTGAGAGAGTCTCATCTTCGCAGGCCCACTCCTCACTGTCATCGGTGACTGTGGAAAAACAGATTTGTTTGATTAAGCACAGTGTGCAGGCTGATGATAGATGCTGAGCAGGCTGGAAACCAAAAACCCTTCACAATCAAAAAATAACACATGGCTGTCAAGCAGACGACAACTAGTTAAGTTATTGAGGCCAGACACTGGGCTGTGCCCGTCTTTGGGCTGTCGACCAACCTCTGTGTAATTGTTCTCTGTCAGTCCATATATTACATCAACCATTTAAAACTTGTGTGAGCCTTTATTAGGCTGTAGTGCTTTTTCACATGATGCAAAGTTGGGGTGAGAGGTGAAACTACAAGAATAATAAGTTAACCTTAAAGCTTAATGTCTTTGTGCAGAGGCTACTGACACTTACAGCTGCTTGTTAGTACAGGATGGCTAGAGGATCTGTAAAACAAAGAGTTATGCATCACTTATCATGACACACACTGATGGACTGGCGACAACAGCCGGTTACTAATGTTTTTTTTATTTGAGAAACCAATGAATTTTAACAGTGAGCTACCCAGTACCTGCTCCCAATGCTGATGGTGTCTCCCTCCAGGTTTCCTCCTCGTCCAGCTGCTTGGGCCTTCTTACCAAGTTCCAGCATCTCCTTGATATTTAGTTCCACATTCATAACTGAAATATAACCATCTGCAATACCAGGACAGAGCCGTTAATATACTGCTAATGAATAAAGCCTAATGACATTGTGGTGTAAATATGAAACCGTAATTACCCCTGTTAAGAATTCCCATTACTTTTATGTGATCAAATGCTATTATTAGCCTGTTTGTGTTAAGTTAAAAACATGCTGGCATCAACAACCAGTGCATTGTGTTATCTCAAATCCTGATTTGACAGAAAATGTCTACTTCTGGGTTCATAATCACATAAAACCAAATCAATATGTCTGAACTCACACTTGTGGTTGCTGTCTCGAGCCAACCATTTGCCTTTGGGGCAGCTGGTGGTGCGAATGATGCTGACTGTGTCCCCGCTCTTCACAGGCAGGTCATTCTTGCGAACCTTGCTAGCCACCGTCACCTTGGCGTGGTACATGGGCTCCTCTTCGCCAGTCACCTAGAGAGTCAAGTTGAGCAACTTTGAACTTTTTGTATACCGTATGGGCAAGTAAAAATATACTTCAGCCATGTAGATTTCTGACAAAAATGACATTAACGTTAAACCCTATATTTAAATGAAAAAAAAAAAAAAAAAAAAAAAAAAAAAAACAGCTCAACTAAAGGGAAGAAATGATCAACTTCTGAGTAATTTCATTGTCTAACTTACTTTGAACTTCTTTTTCATTTCATTTTCCTTCTTCTCCCTTTCTTTCAGCTCCTTTTTCTCCTTCTCCAGTCGCTGCTTCTCCCTCTTCTTCTGTTCTTTATGGTCCGCAGTGTTCGGGCTCTGCCGTTCTTTACTGAAAACACATCAGACTGTTTAGTGGCAAAAAAAATTGCCTATTTTCCATAAAGATTACATGTACCACCTGAAATATAAATGGAACCATATGCTCGTAAAAATACTGAATAAGGAATAACAAAAGCATTTTTGTCAATGTGAAACCAAAGGGAAAATTGATATAAATATGACCTGCTGTACAACATCATATTTCTAGTAAAACATCAGCAACAAAGGCGACATGTGTAACATACCTGAGGATATGATTATGGGCTGAATGTGCATGTTCTCCTGATACACCACCCCTGCAGGTTGATTACCACAGTAAGAGAAAAATCAATGGATGCCTTCTATCTGGCAAAAAACAATGACAATGATAAAACACAGGATTTATAGTTTTGAAAAAAATAAAAAAAGACATACCATGGATTCCGCGGCCATATGTTAAGACATGCCTCCTCTTTCTTGAAATAAACAGAGGATTTTTAATTCACCACAGATGATTGTTAAACACACTGAAGCTGATTAATTCTTCATTGCACAGAGCGTCTCTGGCCATAAACTTAACTGTTCTCTTATTACTCACTCACTCTGATGATTTTATACTCAATTAGATTAAACAATTAGTTACCATAGGGTGGTTGTCAGCATATGGATCTGTAAAAAATGATTAACAAGGAATTAAACAGGGTAAATGAACGTTTGCAAATGGTTTTATAACCCCTCCCTCCCCACTGTATCAAGTAAACATTCTTACTCTTCAGAGCACCTTTACGTTTCCGCGAGTTCTGGCCCAAGATGAATTTGTTGATGTTCTCAACATCCTCATACACATTATCGCACGCCTCGTAGTAACTGTCTTGTTGATTCACACTAGAGGGGATCATAACAATCAAGTTGTACAAACAGGAAATGTGTAAAATTGAATTAAAGTGGGATTGCAGGTACTAAAAAAAAAAAAAAAAACCTCACCTTGTGTGTGGTTGAATCCCATCATTCAAAGCTGATTCCTGTGCAGCAGAGGGAGACTCAGCAGCTCCCAGATCAGTCTCATCAGCGTTAGACAGAGGATCTATGCTGCTCACCTCCTCACTCTGAGACCACTGCTCTGGTACAGCATGCTCTGGGAACTCTGAAAGGTTTATTGGTTCAGGGAAGCAGGCTGGATCGAGGGGTATAATGTTTTCACTGCCAAGGTTCACATCTTGAACACCCATGCTCATAAGGGGCTCCACAGGATCACACACTGACAGGTCGGGTTGTGGATCCTCAAAATCCGTGACCCCGCAGTCTGGTACAGGAGAGTCAGTGCTGACCAAGTCTAAGGCCTCCAGTTCTAGTGCATCGAGGTCAACAGCTTCACCCTCTGCTGTTTCCATCTCTGAATTCTCAAAGTCTGGAAACTCTGGAGCGTCTAGCACAGACGATGGGTGCTCAGACTCTGGCTCTTCACTTGGTGCTGGGCTAAGACCTGGTGACACCTCTATAATAAGAAACCAAAATCAGCACTTCAACAGATGTTCAACTTTACCACAAATAAGTATAATGTAGGATGCAGTACAGATGATACACGGTGAGTAATGTCCAAGGAAAATACAACTTTTTGCCGTCATATTCTTCAGTCTGTAGCCACAAAAGGGGGGGAACAAAAGTCAAATAAAGTGCAGCGACGGAAAACAAAAAGAAACCAAACATTAAAGCAAGTTGAAGTTAGCATACCGTTTGCTGTGGGTAGGTGGTAACAGCTGAGATCTACAAAGGGAGGTCTGTGGGGCTTTGGTGGTAATGGCCCCAGTGACCTTAAGTCAGGTAGAGGCTTCGTTGGAGGAGCAGAGGGTGGATGAGGTTCACCAGTCTTGACAGAGGGAAGTTTACCCCTGCCAAAGTGTTTATCAAACGGAGACTCTGGCCATTGGGAAATACAATATTAGAAAGGTTTCTGATATGGACAAATAAAGTTTATCACTGAATATAACTTACTGCGCGCAAAGGTGTTTGCTTTGAAGAAAGGCCGTGCTGAAATACAAGTCAGGTGTGGAGGACAGACTGGTGGGGGTATGGGTAGATGAGCCTCAACACTCTCAATGTTCTGTGGCGGCAAAGGAAAAGCCTTATCTCTTGAAACATAGTCAGGGGAACACAAGCTCTTAGGTTTGACAGAGATCAACATTTGCCTGCGTGAAAACTTCTTCTTGGCCCTCTCCAAGGTACTAATAATTTTGTTGTCGGAGTCGACACTTGTCTCTGCAGATGGAGGGGTGACTGGGATATCTGGGCTGGAGAGGGGGAACTCAGCGGTTGATTGGTCACCTTGGAGAGAAACCCCATCCTCTGTGCTTTGTTTTTCTACATAGGGCAACTCGCCGGGAGCACTGGAAGGTCTGGTGGTCAGATCAGCATAACTCGGCTCCTCTCTGTTTTCTGCACTGACTTTTGATGCTTTGGCTGACTTGAAAGGAAGCAGCAAACCTTTCTTCTTGATTTTTGTCTGTGGCATGACTTCTTTCACTGGCTGTGGTTCCAGTTTGTGCTCCTTTTTGGCTGGCAGTTCGGTCTTTTGCTCTTTTACAGGCAGGACAGGAAGCACCAGAGGCATGTGTCGGTCTTTGAGGGACTGTCTTGTTGTGTTGTCTCCATTAGTAAGCTTGGGTGAGGGGGAGGTCTGCTGAGGCTGTGGTGGAAAGGAAATTGGTCGCTTGCCTCCAGATGCCCGCAGCCCCTCTCTGAAGATGACCCGGGGAACCACTGGTGTCTTGTTTTCTACAGCAATATGAATATTGCCAACCACTGAGCTGCAGTGACCTCCAGGGGGAGGAAGGTGTCTGGGTTTCTCTGCAACAACTGGTCGACTGGTTCTGGATTGAGCCAGGAGAGCCTCTTCCTGAAACTTGGCCCTCAGAGCTTTGAAGTTGATCAGTCCCTCCTTTAAAAAAAAAAAAAAAAACATATCATCATTAATCAATAGATTTCTATCAATAGATGATATAAATGCCTATTACTTTTAAAGAATTAATCAAGATGATTATTTAGGGACCCAAATCCAATGCTGACACAACATAATTTCAGGGTTGATTTACCAAAATACTCTTATCTTAGTCTTTGAAAAAAAGATTTCACTGAAACAAAGTTCAGCTTCAAGGATTGGTTGTCTAATTGATTACAATTTAGATAACTGATTAATAGTTTTGATTCTTGGATGTGAATATTTGCTACTTTCTATGATTGTAAATTGTTTGGATTGTTAGGTGGACAGGACAAGACAGAGAGAATTTTTGATGGGCATTTTTCAGTTTTCTAAAATTTTACTCACCAGACGAACTGATGAACCAAAAAAAATATTAGACAGCTTAATAAATAATGAAAATAAATAAATAAATATCCACAGAACCCATAGTGAATTGATGACATTGAGGAGTATGGGTTATTCAGAACAACAGGAACACTGTTTCTCTGAAGAGATGATGTTGCTGATTTTTAAAAGTAATTTCTCAAAGCTGTGAGCACCACTAAAGACATCCAACGTGCAGGCATCATTTTGAAATGAAGGCAGATATATAAAAGGGAAAACCTGAATCCCAGATTAGACTGAAAGTGAATGAGAAAATGTTTTGCATTTAGGACGAACCAACCATTTAATATACTACAGTATTCACAGTCGTTGTGGTAACCTAGCTAAGCCACACACTCACATGGTATACACTAGGGAAACTATTAAACACGGGCTAAGAGCTAACTTAGCACAGGGCACAGCAAGAAGGCTATGTTACCTGCACTTGGCAGTCTTCAAGCCAAAGCTGCTCAGAAATAAAACTTTAAAAGTTACCTCTTCCATTGTGGCTCGTTTGGTACATCACTGTTCAGGTGAGTACATTTAGAAAGCGGTCAGAACTGAAAAAGACGCGGCGTTGATAAATGTAGCGAGATGAACCCGACAGACTGTTTATGCTGAAACAAACAATTTGAAAGCGCCGCCGAGAGACTGGAGACGCACCTGCGTGCTGCGCGTGACCTGATGACGTGCACGTTCATGCTTTTTGATTGACCAATCAGAAGCGCTGGAGCCCTTTTTGGATGTGGATATGTATAATAATGTAAATACTACATGACATTACTATTACTACTGCTAATAATAATACTATTGTAAGAAGGTGCCTGAAGAACGTGTACTGGTGTTGCAGTAAAGTGTTTGTGTATGTTGGGACATGTTCTTCCTGGATTGGAGTGTTTGCGGAGTGAAGACGAGAAATGGGGGTTATAGTTCAATAAAAACAAACTGTTGAATGAACATGTGTTTACTCTTGATCAATCATTCACTGTGGTTGGTCAAGACTGCAGTGGCAGAACTCCCCACAGGATCACAACAGCTGTTTTGTGATGTTGCATTTTAACCTTAAGGACTAGCTACTCATTTTCAGTATGGGGATGTTTATTAATTTACCTCTGACTTTATGCACACTGTTTCTGTGTATACATTTTAGCTCAATTGCGAATGCATCCAAGAGGACAAGGGCAACTGCTGATAACAGGTGCAGTATTCATTGCTTCACTACCTCTTCCAGTCACTTGATAATATCTTGATAGCAGTTATTTAATATAGCCTGTGCCCAGTGGGTATTACATGAAAAACTGAGATGATAATGGGTGTTTTTGTGAGCCAGAGAGGCTGGGACAAGGAGGGCCAGAGCTGTAAACAGACCGATACCCATCCAGTGTAGGCTGGGGAGGTGGTCATCTTGGACTCCTTGTAACTCCTGCACAGACAAACAGGTAATTTTGACAATAAACTGCATAAATATGTTGTTTAAAGATGTTGAATAAAAATGATGATTACAACTTTTATTTGGGGTGGTTTTTTCAATACCTTCCCACAGCAAAACCCGAACTCTCTCGTTAAAACACTGGTTGAAACTGGACAGTTTTTTTGTTGCTCAGATCAATGAGATCAAAGCACTACAGATGAGATGATCAATAGGTCCAAAGGAAAAATGATTATGCTTAATCAGCACTCCTGCTCCAATAAGGTCAATAAAAGTAGGCCTTGGTTTTACAATGTTGCTCCAAAATACGCAACTCAATACACTGAAAATGTGTGTCAAATGTTAAATAGCATGAATTTGTATGGAGATATCTCAACAGTGGTATAATGGAATAGACATACTGAGTAAGTTTAACTGCTGACTGTATTTAACTGTGGCTTAGTTCCGTTACCGAGACTTGGAGAAGCCCTCACAGTTCGGTGGCACAGAGTGCTTTGAGACACTGTGGGAAACACTGACATGTCCAACAGCAACCGGACAGTGTATGGTGCCAGATTACTGTGGAGAGAGCTTCACCTGCGGTGAAACTGGCAAGTCCCATCAACAACCATTCTGTAGTTGTGATGTACGATAGCCTACATGTAAATCTGAGTGAGTGAGTCTGTCTTGCTGTCTATCCAGGGCGCTGCGTCAGCCAGTCCCTTCGCTGTAATGGAGAGACAGACTGTGGCGATCTTTCTGATGAAGAGAACTGTGAAAGCTTCAACCAAAGAGATGACATGTGTTCCACCCTACTGGCCATCCCTGGAACTGAACGTGGCACTCAGGGGTGAATACTGCATAGCTATTATTAGTGTTATTGTTCTTAACCTCTTTACTTCATTAATATCATATCATCACATAAAATACGTTTTTAAAAGCAATGCAAAGCCAGGAATTAACAGGACAGTTGTAAAAAAAATTAGCACATCATCAGCACATCAAAATCACTATTGGCTAGCAAATTGCTGTGAAACATTGGAAATATATACTCATAATTTCACTAGTCACCCCGTGACACCATTATTTTTATTACTTGACATGTGTTGTACTTTACTTCATGACTATTATAAATGATTCTCCTTTGCCTAGCTACAACGTCTTGACTGGAGAGTTTGTGGATCATGTACTGGACCCGACATACTTCGGAGGAAAGTGTGAATATGTCTATAATGGTGAATGGAGGAAATTCAGCTATGACTCGTTCTGTGAGAACCTGCACTACAATGAAGATGAGAAAAACTACAGGAAACCTTACAATTACCATGCCTACCGTTTTGTGGTATAGTAATGTTGTGATTTATTCCTTTGTGTAACTGAATCAATGGGCTGTTTGAACTTAAAACATTTTGACATAAAATATAAAATGTTACAGGCTGAAGCCAGGTCAGAGGGCTCTCAGGAATTCTATGAAGATATGGTGAGCATGCTGCGAGCGAGGAAAGACATGCATTCAGGCAACGTAGGCTTCACAGTGGGGGTCTCTCTTGTGGAAGTGGGACTGAGTGCAAGTGCGGAATCTGAGTTTATCAAGAACATAACACAGCATAAAAGCCAGGTAGGATCTGTAGACTCACAGGTCAACATGCTTTACACAATAATGTAATGTAAGTGCAATTATTTTTGTTTGGCGTTTTAAATACATCATTATTAATTGTTTGGTCATTTTTCGAAGCAATAGTTTGAAATTTTAGAAAGGATGTTTGTTTGCTATCTTGTGAGTTAACTTGAGAGTTAAATGAAAAGATTGATATCACTCTCATGTCTGTCTGCCAGACGTCAGTTATCTTGGCTTAGCATAAAGACTGAATAAAAGGTGGAAACAGCTAGCCTGGCTCCTTCCAAAGGTAACAAAATCTACCTACTAGCACTTCTAAAGCTCACTAGTTAACAGACTCATAACCTCCTGTGATGATAGGTTTTTTTTGTTTTTTTTACTTCAATTAAACAAACTGTGTCCTGTTTTTAGTCTTCATGCTAAGCTGTGGTACTGTGGTATCAATTTTCTCATCTAACTCTCAGGAAGAAAAAACAATAAGTGTATTACCTAAAATGTTGAACTCTGTTTAGCAATAGTGAGTGTCTGTGATCATAAGAAAGGACATTATTTGGGATATAAATAAGTGACAGTGCTATTATTATTTTTTTTCATTATAAGAACTATTTCAACCCTCTAAAAAAGAGAAAAATCACTTTAAATTATAAAATTTGACCTTTCTGTTCTCAGGACCTAGGGTTCATTAGGCTGTGGTCCAAAGTGCAAACGGCCCTCTTCAAAATGAGAAGTAATGAGTTGATGCTCCATGAGGATTTCTACGTTTCACTTATGGAGCTCCCTGAGCAGTATGACTTTGGGATGTACTCCCACTTCTTCAACACATTTGGCACCCACTATGTCACAGAGGGAACTATGGGAGGAACCCTTGAATTTGTTGCGGTTGTCAACAAAACAGCTATGGAGAAGTCAAGTACTGTGGACAGTTTATTAATCAATATTATCTAACAGTAAATGTAATGTAAAGTGACCTTTGCATAATTCTTTCCTCTCTCACAGAATTTGAGGCTCACCAATTTGGTGGATGCATTGGTGCTTCTATTGGTTTAAACCTTCCTGTTGAAAACGAGCTCACTGTAGGTCTCAAATTGAGTGGCAAAAAATGCGGCAAAGGCGGAGAATTTGAAAAGGGTGAGAAATAAGCTAACCCAACCAGAGGTTCTCATAATACCTAATCATTTTGAATTTGAGCTTATGTCTAGTTTCCATTCAGCTGACAAGTTATGAAGGATTGCTACAGTAATGTGTTATCAGGGCTTGTATTACAAATGTGTTTTTTTTTCTCTTTTATTTTCAAATGTAGTCAAGAATTCCAATTCCGATTTAATTGAGGACGTTGTTACTCTAGTGAAAGGGGGGGTCATACACCACAGCAGTGGCCTGTTGGCTATCAGAAGCCCTGACACCCACAGGAAGTGGGGGGCGTCCCTCAAATACAACCCAGCACTCATCGAGTATGAGGTAACTTACTGGAACTCATATTTAATCATTTGACTTCCTAAAGGTCCAGTGTGTTACATTTAGGAGCATCTATTGCCAGAAATTCAAAGGTATGTTTTTTTTCATTAGTGTATAATCACTGAAAATAAGAATTGTTGTGTTCTTGTTACCTTAGAATGAGCAGTTTCTATCTACAGATTCCATGGGTTGCCTTCCATGGTGTCTGCCATGTTGAACCGCCATATTTTTTTAACACTGGCACTAGATAGGGGCATTCGATCTTTTGACACAGTTTCTCCTTCGTGCTTGGAAGGGGAGGTGAAGTTGGGACCTGCAACTACACTACTAGATGTCACTAAATCCTACACACTGGAAGAGAAACAAATTATAGTTAAATTCCCAATTTAGGTCCTTTGGGGTCATTTGCTTTTCATTAACTTTTCTCGTTCTCCTCTTCCTCGTCTCTGTCCTTCCTCACCATGATCAGACCATGCCAATTTATGAGCTAGTGCGCCTCAGCACAGCCGCCGACCATGTCGGTGCTAGACTGGCTAACTTGCGGAGGGCCTGGGATGAGTATCTGCAGAAGTTCGACTCCTGTATCTGCGCCCCCTGCAAGCACAACGGGATCCCTGTCCTCACGGGTACCTCCTGTAAATGCCTCTGTAAGTCTGGGTACGAGGGAGACGCCTGTGAAGAGACTCTCAGAAGAGGTGAGACTTTTGTCAAAAGTAAAAGCAGTGGAGGTAAACACATTCAAATCATTTCCTTTAATAAAGGAACAGTTTGACAATTTATGATATGTGCTTATTTGCTTTCTTGCTAAGAGGGGGATGAGAAGATTAGTACCACTCCCATACCTGTTGGGAATTTAAAGCTGGAGACGGTTATCTTAGCTTAACTAAAAGACTAAAAGCAGGAGAAAAGAGCAAGCTGTTTAGATTTTATATCTTGTTTGTTTACTTTGCACATAAACCAAAAGTGTTAAAACGACAGGCTTCCTCGCTGGGTGCAGTGACTGTGAGGTTGCCAGAAACCTCCAGGAAGTCAATGCACACCCAAGAAATAGATTAGCAAATTAAAAAAAACACAGCTTGTTGTTTGTTGGATTAAACAAACAATAGCCTATAGCATGTCTGTTTCAGCCAGGTTAGCTGTTTCCCACATGCTATGTGCTAAGCTAAGGTAATTGCTGCTTCATATTTAAAGTGTAGATGAGAGAGTAGTAAGGTCGAAAACAAGCATATTTCCCAAAATGTCAAACAATAAGTTTCTTTTAAAGTTAGCAATTCCATATAGGATGACTATGCTATTAAAAATCCATGCATGCAAAATATTTATAGATTATAATAGAAAAGTTTATTTTTGTTTATTTGGTATCTCCCTTAACTTGAATCACTTCTGACTTAATGCCAGTTTTACTGCCTGACAGCAAGCGCAGACCTCTTGTAAAATTTGGCATGCGTATGTAATATTGTTTTCTTGTGTGTGACTGATCCGCTGCCTGTTTCACCTGCTCCTCGGGTCAGAGGATGTGATGAAGCAATGGCAGTACGCAGACATTTCCTGTTTCCAAATCTGTATCCTTCCTTAAGATCAGCTTAAACCTCCCCTTAATTTCACTCCACAGATACTAAGACAGATGGTTCATGGTCATGCTGGGGGTCCTGGTCACCCTGTGCATCGGGGGGGAAGACACGGACCAGAACCTGTGATAATCCTGCCCCTGAGGGAGGCGGAGCCGCCTGTTTGGGCGCCTCCTCTGAGACTCAACGCTGTTAGAGTGCTGTTTCCTTCAGACTCACATGCGCTAATTCAGAATAATCTATTACGGGTTTCCTCCGATTAATTAAAACTGTTCTTTCACAATCTTTTAATGTCAGAGATCTTAAATATAACACACACTGTATTTCAAGGTAGAAATAAATGTGTTGTGCAGACTTTACCACGTGTTTGTAAATTTTTTTGTCTGAAGTTGAGTGAAACTTTCAATTTTAGATGCTAATACGTGACATTTTATAAATTGCCTCCAATGTGAAGGTCAAATATGAGTAACAGAAGTTTATTCCAGGTCAGTGCAAATCCAGTTAAATATTATATATCAATAAATGACACACATGTTTCTTTTGCTTGTTCTTCTTGTTCTTGTTGTTCTTTATAGTCATGGTATCTTTTTTTCCTGATTCATTATCTCCCACTAGGCAGTCAAAAAACAAACACACCACAGACCAAACTACTATTTTCAAGGAAGCTTTTATTAATCTTTAAGTCAAAGTTGACATTTGACAGTTTTAAGAGCATTCAGTAGACTCTTGCTGCAGTCCTCTGCACGTCATGCCTCCATTGCTGGGCGCTGGGTTGTTACACTGTCGACTCCTCGTCATCGTTCTTCCACTGCAGGATGACCATACACCCCAGCAGCTCCAGCTGCCGTCAATGGCTATGTCTGTCACAAAAGACCATATCACATCTCATATTATTATGTCAATATCTCAGTAGGTATAGGCTAAAGAAAGTAAAAATAATGTTGTGCTGTATGCAGTGTTGAGTGCTGACCTTTTCGCCTTTGAGTAATCTCACAGCCTCGTCCACTGTAGCCAACAGGACACACACAGTCACACCTGGTGCCTATTAAGGAAGATGGACATACTTCTTTCACCATCAACAAACATCATTACCATCACTGCAATCATCCTCAGAGTCACTTTCTGCACTATTATGTTGTGCCAGAGATGTTGGTGTTACTGACTTTCTTGGTCATCTGTTAAGGGTGATAAAGGTCACTTAATGTTCCTTGAAGTAAAACTAAACCATAAGCTTTGGCTTAAACTATGGATGAAAACAAAACAGAGCTTAAGCAAGAATGTCAGGATAATGTAATGGGTTTTCAGTCAGTAACTGATGGAAGTGGATCCATTTAAATTTGCCATGAACACCAAAAAACAATATCATCTGAGGTACCTCTCAAAACAGCCACTCCGTTGTTGTGACAGGGAGCACATCGACATGAACTAGCCTCTGCTAGGTACTCTGACAGGGCTCTCTTCAGATTTCTTTTCAGGGTGGCGGCTTGGGAGAAGTCTCTGGAGGTAACCAGCTCATACAGTGGCCGTGTCTAATGAGAAACAAATGTCACTATTAAACCAGGATTTTTTTACTGTTCAAATTCTCTTAAATTTAGCTTTTTTTAGATAAAGCCAACTGGAATGGCCCACAGATTCTGAAACTTGACAGTGTTGGGGCAGGGCAGCCTATTTGTATTTGGCACAGTTGTTATTTGGCATCTTTTGCTGTCTGTTCTCCAACTTGCTATTGATCAGCCTAGCTGTACTTTGCCTCTCTGTATTTGTGCCAATCCTGGGATCACCACTGATCCACTCTTTTGTAAATATTTTGCATCAATTAGTCTGGTGAAACTCCCTTTAGACAGCTTTATTATAGCTGCAAACTGAGATGGTGAAATATAAAGCAAGAACAAAAAGAAGTGTCAATTGTGTTAATGTGGGGAGACAGGAAACACATAGATACGAAATAGACAAGGTAAGTGAGAAAAAGGAAGCAAGACATTAGATTTAGTGAATGACAGAGAAACTCACTGTTGTGCGAATGAAATCCGGGTTAAAACGCACTGCGCTGCCCCATACCCCCATCAGCTGTGGGGTGGGAAGCTTTTTAGCCACCAAAGCACTGATGGATTCACTGCTTCCACCCCTTACAACAGAAACAAAGTCCTCCACCGAGCTGCCTTGCACCGTGTCCCCTAAAGAGAGACAGATTGATTTCAGAGTTTCAGCATCAGCTCATGTGTTTGATGTAGAACAGAGGACATTCTGCAGGACATCTGATAAAATAATCAAACTCACCTCCTATCTCATTCAGCAGGCCTTTGCAGCCTCCGGCCTGAATCCCCGCCGACACATCAACACCCTCTATGTTGATCCCAACCTTAAGGCCTACCTGCGTACATCGCTTGTAGTCATCCAAAGAATAATCTAGAACAACAAAATTATGTCAGGTGGTGGTTACTGCCTTTAAAACATTGAGCACAGCGTTAGTTCAGGCCAAATATAACATTCTGCATTTGGAAATAAAGTTTTCTTAAGATACAAAATTGGACCATGACCAGAGCTATATGATGTCATTCCCCTTGCCAAACCCCAGTATCTGTTGATGATAATTATCTTTATGCATTCTTGCAACTGGGAAATGAAACCAAATGACTCCCTGTATGGGAGCCACTAATATCTATTACCTGATTTCTCAAGCTTCTCCTTGTTCAGGATGATGGTGTGCTCGTAGTCTCCTCCGAGGGCAGCCTCTGTGATGTAGTGGGTGCCGTAGTCTCTGTAGATCTGTCTGTATTCCCCATAAACATAGGACTGTGGCAAGGATCGCAGGCGCTGGAGGAACTCAGTGTGAAGCACCAAATCATCTGACTTCAACATGTACTGGGCCAGCTCCAGTTCTGCTTTGGCCCTTACGAAGCTGCTAGACTGAGGAGGGAATCAGCGGGGGGGGGGGCTTAGAACTGAGTAAGTTGTGCAGAAGCCAGGAGAAAAGAAAAGAAACAATATCTCACCTTGCCAGAGGCACGGCGAATCTTCTTAACTGACTTGGTATATTTGTCATCATTGAAGTTGAAGCCAAACTGACCTACGCCTGGAATGGCAAAGCCAATAGAAACCTTGGTTTGGGTGGAGCGCTCACTCATGGTGTACTCCATGTAGTCAGAGTATGAATCAAAGGACTGCATGCTAAAATCATATGAGCCTCTTGTCTGTAAATACATGGGAAGCAAAACTTCCTTTTTAGTGAACACGGAATAACAGATGCAAGAATGAGATGAAAGATAAGACAAAAAGAAAGAACAGGTTCAAAATGAATCCTAGCTGATACACCATACACAAAGAAAAACCTCTCTGGTGGCGAAGGAACCAGAACTGGCGCAAGATGTAGAGCAGTACCAAACAGATATAGTTGCAAAAACTTTATTTCTAAGTAAGTGAGATAATGTTATAGTTACTTTAAAATCTAACAGGACTTGTTTAGAGTGTGGATTGGATTATCTACTTCTCACCATGCAAGGTTGTTTGACTAAATTCAATTAAATGTCAATTGCTTTGTCTTTTGGCAGCTTAATTAGCTCTTTTTGGAGTTATTTTTAGCCAGATACAAGGGAAATATTCACTACAGGACCTCCAGTATGCTTTGAAAGATAGATATTTGTCAGCATTTTTCCCAACCTGTCACATTCCACTGAATACAATACGCCTCAGATGATAGCTGTCCAATCAGTCCAAACAAGAAAAGGATTTTCTTAAAGTCTAAATATTGTTCTTATTAATGGCTTAAAACTGACATATAAAGTAATTATCAACTATCAATAAAGTTACAACTAATTGACCCATTATAAACGGTGACATATTAGAAAGTGGTACAGGAAAAAAAAACAAACTGGTCTGGTATTAATACTCATTATACTAAAGTGTGATTTCCGGCCAGTCTCACCTGAAAAGTGTACTGTTGCAAATTGTAAGGCTTCCTGAATCTGACATTCTGGACGTAGTGTGGCAAGCAGCTCCCGGCGTAGTATCTGTTATCAAGCACCACTCCCTCCAGGTTACTGTTCAAGATGTTGATTCTGCAGGATGAACAGCAACAGCATTAATGGTGAGCAGATTGATATGGGGACAGCGAGATGTTTGCATGTCGTAGTCCTCAAAAGTATCTGCGACTCACATTACAGACTAATGGGAACGTGACTCACCCTTTGGCAAGGTTTTCAATTCCCCAATACTCTTCAACCTCCTCCCTGCAGGGCTTGGAAACCGCCCTACAGCCGACTTCATCTGACATGTCCCCACAGTCGTCCTCCCCACTACACCGCAGAGTTCTGGGAATACAGCGACCTGAAGAAGAGGGAAGACGTTGGATGGCGTTTAGTAATGCTTGATTTCAAAATGAATAGTTTGACATTTAGGAAAAAAAAATGTGCTCTCTCGCTGAAAGTTAGATTAAAAGATCAATACCACGTCTATATCTTAAATTAGCTAGCCAATTAACTTAGCTTAGCGTAAAGACTGAAGGCAAGGAAACAGCTAGGTTCTGTTGAAATGTTAAGAGGGAGTCATGACGCCTTTAAAACCACAACTTTGTTTTTGGACAGATTAAACAAATGAAGTCGGTTAATTAGAAATGACCAGTTGTGATTGTATGGTTTGGACGGACTATTTATTGTCTGGGTGCAGTGCCCTTTAGAAATGTTGTTAATCAGATTTTTTACCTTTGGAGAGAACCAGGAACTGTTTCTGTCTGTTACAGTCTTTATGCTAAGCTAAGCTAAACAGCTGCTGGTTCATATTTAGTGTACTGACATGAGAGGAACTCTTTGTAACAAAAGTGAAAAAGCGTATTTCCCAAAAGGTCCTTCAAAAAAAGTATTCCTTTAAGAACAACCCTCTAAAAAAATGCAAACTAGTGTAAAATCTCCTGGGATGAAGCAATGACTCACTCACATGAGACAGTATTACTACTATATGGTTGTATAACACAAGACTTAATAACGTTATATGATTTTCCAGAATGCAGAGCATATGGGGATGGGTATAGGGGATACCTGTTAGGGGGCAGAGGAATCCCTCACACAAAGGAACATTGTCACAGGTGTAGCGGGCTGGAACAGTGCAGGCCTCCTCCTCCCTGCCTTGAAAATTGCATGGCTTCCCTCCAAACTGAGATGGCTGGACCAGTTTGGCATGGCGATACTGGATAGTTGAGGCAGACAGACACATAAATGGTCAGAGAAATACAGAGGAAGGCTTGCCACTACCCAATAAAGGTGGTTGAAGAGCTTGGAAACTGCCCCGGGGAACTATAACAGTCGTAATCCCATTAGAGGACTGTTTTCACTTTGTCATGTCAAGGTTATTAATCCCCCTTCTTTGTAAAGTGGATGAGATAGAGCACTGAAGTACATCAGCTGAGACCCTTGCCAGCAGTGTTACTCTGTACCTCACAGAAAAACAACCAGCAAGGGTCAAAACACCTCGGACTGCAGAATTTTAGTAATCTCTCAATCCTTACACTATATGAAGTATTTATTCATCCAAATCTAATCTTATTTATGATAACTGCGGAATTACAACTGGTAACATAGATTTCCAGACAAATCTAGTAGTTTAGTGTGGTAATGGCCATATATTTTGTTCTGTGCCATGCATAAAACCAGTGTTTTTTTGTGTATTAGATTTATTTGCTTGATTGTTAAGTTGAAGATAACAGTTTTCAGTTAATGGAAAAGTTTGACATTTATTGTGTTTATTGCAGAGAGTTAGATGAGAAGATTAATGACACTCTTATTTGGTAAAGCTATGGTACGGCTGTGGTAGGTACAAAATCACCACCACTGTTTCTTAGTCTGGACCAGTTGCTAGGCAACCAGCAGAGATTCCAAGTTACTCGACCAAGAAATAGTCCGGCACATAACCCCAATAAAACCGTTTTTTCTCGTTTTACACGTCGGTTCTTGTAAGGATCAAACAAACAAGATACAACTGACTAGAAACATCAAATCATGTTTATGCAGACTGTAATAATGAGATACTGACCTAGTTGATATTCTCATGCTGCCAGAGCTCCCAAAACATCCTCCTTATGTAGTATATTTGGTATTATTAATTTAACGAAGAACCAAAGTTCATGCATTGGTTGAGGGCGGAGCTAAACCTTTTCTTCCAAATCTAACTGCATCGCCATTTGCTATGAATTCCTTGTCATAAGTGTTTCTGAACATCAGCCAAAATAGATTAGCTATGGGAGATTTATTCCTTTGTAATAACAGATTATCAGGTAAACAATGGGCCGTCATGATGGGCCAACAAACACATGCCATGTATTGTTGCTGTTATATCCCCCAGGCGTCCTGTACCACCTGTCTGGTATTATCATACTTACTCTTTTTTTCTGACAGGTGTCACAGCGTGACCATGGGCTCCAGTCTGATAAAACACAGTCGACTGGTTGAACTACCACCTGACTGCCCACTGACCGAGCTTCACGAACACTAGGTTCTTCATTGTTGGCTGTTGTGACCTGACTGTGACATGTAGATGAAAATCAGATGAAATCAAGTGGACATTAACAGACTTTTATTATCACTTTGAAAGCAATCAAGGTCTTTTAGTTTCTCTGGAGTATCTTTCTGTAGAATTGGCCACTGATAGGATAGATCTTAATCAGAGAAAACATTTAGTGCAGATTTCAAAGTGAAATAAATTACTTTTAATCTCACATTGGAAACTCTGTCTGAGCATTGTTACAAATTAGCATGTATCTGACAGCAAGACGTTTACATTAGTTAACCTCAATGGGAATAAAGCTTAACCAGAACATTTAAAAAAATGAATCTATTACCAAACATACAAATAAAACTCTTACCTTAGAAGCACCAAGCTCAAAGTAACATGGAGTAGACAGCACTGCAAATTGAGTGCACTCATCCACATCACCACAGAAATCATGGTTGTGTGTTATGACAGACTGTGAACAAGAAGACAGCACTGTTGAGCTTTCTATGTAAACACTCACTGATCAATACTGGCCTGGATATAAACTCACTGCTGCCATTAGACTCAGATGTGGAGCTGAATACACAATACTGCAGGTCTCAGACACACAAAACTATGTGTTATAGTTTTAGGTCTTGTGTTAGTATGTATTTAACACAGGTATGACACAGATGTCACATCTATAAAGAAATGGGGAACCAGGAGGTGTGGATGTCTTTTCAGTTACTATAAACTTTATTATGTATAACCTGTATACATAGTGCTGTGATGAATCTGAAATGGCTAGAAAACATACTTTAGATGACAGTGGTGGAAAATGAAGGCTTTGTAATGAAGTAAATCCCTGTTTGGTCAGATCATTTGAGTCATGTCTGTGTCACCTTCACTGATTTTGGATTTTACAGAATGACACAATCCCATGACCCAGACACTTACTGAATACTGTAAACTGCTTTGACGACAACATGTTTTTTGTTTGTGCCAATGAAGCAGAAAACATTTGAATTTACTAGACGAACAGCACGGTAACATGTGAGTTGACTGACGATGAGCTGTTGGTAGTTCCACAAAATGAGATTTCCCCTCCAAACTTCTCTGACGGTTTCATCAATATACAGTAACTGTTCAAGGCTCAGAGAGGTCAAACGATCTAGTATTTCACAACAGAAGCAAATATTAAAACAGTCCAAAAAGCTTATGCAAATATATTTAGCAGAACCAGGTCTCTCTTGAAAATCAAACACAGTGTATCAGTGAGATTACCTGTCTAAATGACCGAATAAAACGTTGTTTCTTTTGCTTTTTAATCATCTTGTGACCCCACATAGATTTATCTTGTGTCAATTCGAAAGGGAGAAACACTAAACTACCTAGTTATTTCTAGCTACACTAAGACCAGCTAAATGATGGTAATACACTGATGCATCAGTACTAAAAAACGAATGATTTATAATTATATATCAGTAACAGTATGAGTACTGTTACCCTATCACTTTTGATGTGACATTTTGCTTTAAATACTTGCACAGTACGATTTTGAATGACACTGTTCTATCATGTGATTAAGTAATGTTTAAGTAATGTAGTCACATGACAGTGATTGACTGCATAGAGGATTTCTGAAGTATATGTGTGAGGAGAGCAACCTCTGTTGGCTGCTTTAATGCTCTTTACAGTAGATCATTAGAAAGACGGTATCAGGGTAAAGAAAGACAAAAACCGAGCAGAAAAGTGGGAATCACATGATATTTTATTTGTGACTGAACAGTGGCATGGGTACAGTGTACGGGGAAGTCATAGACGTACAAAAGTCCTTTTTTTCTCTTTTTCATGACAATTCTTAATTCCATAAATAAAATTTACAAAATATTTTGGACTATTTCTCATTTTTCTTACACGAGCAGGGATACAGTTACCATTTGTTATTGTAAGTCTAGCAGTTAATAGTGATATCTCTATTGTTCGTATTATATAACGTTGCCTTTGTTTTTGACCATTTCCATTCGGTGGAGCAGACCTACAATATGCCCAAGTGCTTTGTTACAACAATGACCTGTATACAAATGACCTGACAAGAAGAACAGTGACTGGACAACAAAAATAAACCTGATAAGGCATAGAAATGCACTCTACTGTCTCTGGGCTTGTGGTTATTAAGCACATCAGTATGGGTTTATTCTGCTTATTTATTCAAGAAACCAAACAGAGATATGATTCTAAGAGGCAAGTTGTAAACAATGCGACCTCAGCTGGAAATGTAGAATATCTAAAAACAAAGAGATGCAGGAAAATCTGCCTCCTATTTACTAAAAAAAGTACTTACGTAACCTTTAAGTAGTAGGATTTTTGTCCCCTCCATTGCGTTCATCTGCCGAGCTCAAAATGAATGAGACGTGAACAGCAGGCTTTATTTTGAATGACCATGTAACACAGATTCACAGTTCATATCTCACCAACCGAACAGAAACAAAGACATTTTTCAGAAATAAAAAATAAATGGCAGCAAAAAGCGAAACAAACATCCAGACGTCAAAAATGGAGGTGCTGGTAGGGCATTGCTTGAGAGAAACACAGGTAGTTGGCATCCAAAGAGGCAGAGAGCTATCTTATGGCACAGAGGCTCAGGTATGGGGGACTGGGAAGATTCTTATTTACAAAATAGATGTTTGGCAAATTTTGATTTCGACATTGATGCCTCAAAGTCATTTTGATATCTCTAATGACTCAGCGTCATCAACACAGAATTCACAGCTTATAAAATAAGAAAAAGAAATATTTTTTTTTATTTGTTTCAGATCTAGAAGGAAGCTGCAGAGATCAGTTTTTGCTCACAGCTGAGTCCGCTGAATCCACATCAAGTCTGTTCATGCAAATGTACGAATCGGTGGAGCAACACTATGAGAACATTTGGCAAATCCATCTGCTGTATACAGTCTTTGCTGGTGGCAGTTGACAAACTGAAGGTCAACCACGTACAGTAGGACGCTGCTCCTCTTGAAAGGTTCCAAAAAATAATTTGCATCATCAGTGTCACCATGGCCGTGTAACGTATCCTCGCAGATATAAACTCATTAATCCGTCACAAGAGGCTGCTATCGCCTCCTGTTGTAGGTTTCGGTTCAAAGATCAAAGGTCACTTCCTGGTTGAAAGGTCTTTTGATTGGACGATAAAGCCAAAGTCTGGTTGTCATGCTGAGGAGTACAGTACAGTATATGGCCTCTGAAGGAAAGCAGATCCTAGGACATCCAGCTTATTACAGAACTGCCAAAATATCTTTTCAAGGTTGAAAAAACAGAACTAGTCTGTGTAATCCAGCTGTGAGAGACGCTGCTGATCACAGTCCCTCATCTCTCTCATCTTCTCTTTCTCATGAGCTTCCGTCTTGGCCTTGAGAGCTTCCGTCCCCTAAGAGACAAACAGACACAATTGACCATATCGTGAAGCTGTATGTGTGCGGTTACAACTCTGACCACCAGGTGGCAACATTGTGCCGTCCTTATCTTTCATTTGGGTGACGCAGAGAAGCATAATGACAGAAAGATTGAACTAAACCAAGGCTCTTCTCCAATTGGCAGCGAACCACTCATCCACAAGGAAAAGGGAGACACACTGAAAAATGAAAATATAAAGCAAATAAAGAAACAGAGCAGGGTTATCAACAATGAGAGGGGGAGTAGTTAGACATAGGAGATGAAAAGAGCAGGGGAGAAAATATATGAAATGCCCCAGTTTAAAGGCAGCTGATGGATAACACAGGCAAATAAGAGAGGAGGGGACCATGAGATACCCACTCAGTGTCTGCTGTTGTCTAGCTGTCTTCCTGTGGACAGGTCTGATCCTGTGGTGGATCAGGAGCTTCACTGGGCACCGGAGAAATCGACCTTGCAACAACACAGCCCTGAGAGAGAGAGAGAGAAGAAAAAAGGCTGTAAAATGTATATATTTGCAGGCAAAATCAACTATTCTCCAGCGTGTAAGGACTTGCAGAAAGTGCATCTTTTTTTTCTCCCATTTTCCAGAAAAACACGAGCCAAACATTTAGGAAAATTAGCTATAAAAACAACTATAATTACCTTGAAACATAATGTTACCTTATTATATATGATCTAATCAAGACACTTAAATCATTTTCGACCTTTCATGTTTAATTGACTTGACATTTTTCTGAAAAAAGGGTAAAATCAATCCCATTTGGCCGTATTAATCACATGACATTCCATCCTGAGTGATTACATGCGATTTACTGGAGAACTGATCATCCATATGACAATAATAGATTACAGCATCATGTCAGTCAGTTGTTAAATCAAATCCACAAATCTTATTGACTGGGATGTGACCCAGGGGGCATGGGGCTTACCGTTTGTTCCTCCTCCTTAGCGTTGCTGGAGTTGCCCTCTGGGTCTACCGGGGAGTGATTTGTGGGGGGGTCACTGGCCTGGGAAGGGGGGCAGTCTGAAGACGAGCTCTGCTGAGGGGCTGGAGTAGATGCTGGGAAGAGAGGAAATTCCACTTTGTTTTACACCATTATCTAAAATGTGAAGTATAAATGATATTTGAACATCAAGCTAGTAACATGCATAACCTATACTGAGAAGTAGTGGATTCAAATTTAGATTATGACCTTTGATACATCCGGTCAAAGACTTTACTCCATGTCATCCCCTCACCTTTCTTTTCTATTATACCTGACATATAATACTATCAAATGTCCTTAAACCTTATATTCCATCCCTTGCACTCCACTCTCAGAATACAGCGCTCTTGTCTGGCCTAAAAAGAAGTCAGCTGCCTGCGGGACCTTTTTCTATTGTGCTACCTTCGTCTGGAATAACCTCAATGCTGTCGTCTGACTCCTTTAAATACAAACCTAAAACTCATCTTTTGGCTTTAACTTTCAGTTTGTTGCTTATTCTTTGATTACTTCAGGCCATCCACCTGATACCATTAACCTTTCGGCGGGTCACTCTCAGTCTCAATGAACCTATTAAGCCTTACAGTCCATGTTTGTCCTGCAAACAAGAATACTGTTAACTGGGGCACCCCATAGCTCGCCTGGTGGAGCTGGCTCCATGTGCCGAGGCTGGGTCCTTGCTGCAGCGGCCATGGGATTGAATCTGGCCTGTGGCCCTTTGCTGCGTGTCATTCCCTGTCTCTCTCCCCACCTTTCCTGTCAATCTTCAACTGTCCTTTCCAATAAAAGGCAAAAAGCCCCCCAAAAAATATAGGGAAACACAAAAAGAATACTGTTAACTCTCTAAAAACAACTGCATCTGTCTAACCCTCTGTTTGTTTGTTGGTCACCAAGCACAGCTGTGTGCCTCTCTCTCTCTCTCTCTCTCTCTCTCTCTCTCTCTCTCCCACACCTTCTTGTCCTCTTTTTTTACTCAGGCTTCTCTGACGGACCATCAGCCGTCCTGGGACCTCTCTCTCTCCCCTGGCAGTTGGTGCCTAATTCCAGATGTTTTGGATCTGGATCTTTGTCCCCCTTTGTCTCCCCTGTGTGCATGTTGTCCTTGTCTCTCTCTCCCTACGCATGTTTGTTTATTTTCTGTGTGAATGGTGCGCTTGAGTTTTGCTCGTTTGGTCACACGCTCATTTTAATGATGCAGAGTGCTGCAGAATAGTCCATAGCCACGCTAGATCTCACAACATTGCTTGGAGCTATAAAGTGCGAACAAAAGCATGCTATCTTGCTCAAAACGACAATGTTTACCATGTTCACCATTTTAGTTTAGCATTCTAACAGAAGGGCATGCATGTTTGAACATGAATGTACTAACTACATTAGTTGTGGAGACATTTTATTCAAAGCCACAAATATCAGAGGAGGATAAAAAGTCAGAGGATCATCCTCAAGAACATGAATGTCTATACAACATTTCATAGCAATGGATGTAATAATGTAGATGTTAAGATAGTCCAGCATGGACCAAAGTGGTGGATTGACTGACAGACATTGCCATCTTTAGAAAGCTGCAATTACATAAGAGGACAATAATTAAAAACACTTACGAGATTCAGTAGACGGTGATGTGGATGTACCTGGGCTCAAGGTCATCCTAGAGAGATCAAGGTCACTACAGCTCCCTTCCTCTTCCTGGGTTGCAGAAGCTGAAGGGGGCAGCAGCTGACTGCAGGCCAGAGTGTCCGGTACACTCATGAGGCCTGGGGTCCCACACCTGCTCACCGCTGCTGACGCGATGCCAGGTCCCACACCTGCTGCTCCAACTCCTGATGTAGAGGGACCCTCGCCTGCATCTGAGTCCATGCCGAGGCCTTCCTTCCCAAGGCTCAGCTGCCTCTGCAGCAGGGCAGGGTCTGCCGTGTGCTGGGGGCTGGTGATGGCAGAGGATGGGGCCGATAGGTCGCAGGCTTGGGGGCACATGGTAGTAATGGGTACCAGGCCTTGGAGCATGGCAGCTGGTATAGCGTGCCCCCCAACGCCCACGGTCTGTGCCGGCATGTAGGCTGCCATGGCCGCCCACTGTTGCTGAGTGGCGGGGAAAATGTTGGCCTGGCCCCAGATAACCGGCTGACCACCAGGGAGGACCTGAGCCACCTGGAGGGGCCCCTGCACAGGGAAGGCCAGAGTCTGGGCCTGGGCAGGAAACGGCTGCTGCGCCCACTGGGCCGCCTGCACCGGACCCATGGTCATATAACCTGGAGTAGAAACAAAAGGAGAAAGGAGAAGAAGAAAGAAATACAGAAAAAGATTAAAGGACATTAAAGCAGGAAAAGGAAGTGGAGATTATTACTATTATGAGCAAAGAATACATTTTGTCTACTGCTAAGTTCAATACATCGATTTTCAAAATTACAGCATGTTCCTCCACTATATTTATATTGCTGTTTCCAATGCTTATAATATGATTTAACACTGCCTTCCAAACAGCCACATGCTTCCACTGATTTCATTACCAAACTTGCTTTACAAAGTAGATAATCATAGATTTATTAAGTGCAACTATGATATTTCAAAATGATGTCCTCAGGTAACCTCATCATGTGAGCAAGTATGAATCCCAGGTCAAGTCTATCAATTACATGCACACATCACATAATTTATCAAATTAACAACACAAAACTGGATGCAAAAATGCTTAACTCGCTGAAAGCAATCGCTTCTGAAAATATCATTATTGTACTCAATAAATATTTTCTTGCAGAAACTGGCTTTAGATTAATGACTTCTTGTTCCTTTCTTGTGCAATGTATGTGACTATCGCATGGTAATTAATTTTCAAGGTAGGACTGTCTTGAAAGTGCTTCCTTGTAATGTGTTCCAGGAAAGCATCTGAGATTTGAGAGTCAGCTGTCATAAAGCATTCATAAGCTGTTATCATAGGCAGACACATTGATGATGTGAATTAAGCTGTTTTTTGCATTAAAAAGGTCGCTCTTCAGTAGGCTGAATTATGTTGGAACGCTCTTGAATGTTCTTGGAAACCCATAATGTCAGTAGTTTCGGTAAAATATGTAAAACCGCCACTGTGGTCCTTTAAGAGGCATCACTTTGCAGTATCTCTGTGGGTTACAGCATAATCACGCTGCTGCCCGATGTGTGGTCTTTATAAAAACTGAGATAAATCCTGCCAAATATTGGCAAGGCTTTTCACAAAATTACATATCAAAGAAAGACATCCCCACCAGCAGTTTATTCCCTTTTATGTTTTGTATTGTGGAAAAGATGTAGTGTTTCAGTCAGGGTAGCTACCTGACGGCACGGAGGTGGGGCTGAAGGGGGCATACATCTCAGCAGGATTGTGTTGCTGCTGGCGGCTGCTCCTGCTAGGGTCCAGTGTGTTGGCAGGTGATGGGGGCATCTGGGAGGCAAAGCACACACACACACACACACACACACACACACACACACACACACACACACACAAATGTCAGCACTATCAAAGTCACCTAAAAGTCACTGTGTTGCACATTTATCTTTAATCTGCAGTACTTCTGGATATTCGGGTTATTTAGATCTCTGTGACTGTCCTAATGAAACCACCTAAGATTACAGATAAAATATTAATGTAATTTCTCCATGCAATCCTTAAAAGTCTTGCATCAATTACACAAAGTTAATCAGGGCTAGGTTTTGTGTGGTACTCACAGAGGGAGGAGTGGACATGTCGCCGAAAAGATCAAAGTGGTTGATATTCTGCGAGTCGAACCAAGGGAGGGAGAGAGAGACAAAGTCCAGTGATACATCACGACAATAAGATTTGGTACAGTCATGAAACCTTGAATTCATCTCCAGATAGGGTATGGTGGTTGCATGGGTGGGTAGGTGTGGGGAGTGAAATCTATTCACAAAGGCAGTTTGTGCTGTGGATGGCAAGAAACAACCATCCTCTCATTTCATTATCAGAAAATGGATCTAAAATGAATCTTTCATGGCTCGCTATAATTGAGTGGGTAAAAGGCTATTCAGTCCTATAAAACTGGCTCTGATTAGATATTCTTATGTCTGCCAATCAAGAGGGGCCCCTGTGAGAGTCCGGGCCGCTTTATCATGCTGATTCTACTCTGTGAGCAGACACATATACAGAGGACTGTATTTATTTCATGGAATGAATGAAAGAAGAAGCTCCTGGAACCACCCAACCGAGACAATGAGGCCACCTCACCCTATAGGCAGACGTGACCCCTTGAACTAGTCCCCTCTGTCCTCCACTTGCACTACTTAAAGGAGAGGGGATGTGGCTCTAGAAGAGACTATGGAATGGCTAAGTTGCATGAAATGTCTCTGGGGCCATGCACAAGCAGACAATGAGTCACCATAAAAGCACAAAAACACACAGAACACAGGATATTCATGCTATAAATAAACAGATACACAAACAAACACACACATATTCAAACAAAAGAAAGAAAAGGGAGGAATCACAGCAATCAGTGTTGCTGCTAACAGGGTGTTTATGTCCTCCTTGAATAAGCCGGGACATAGCGGATCGCACAGTTTGCACAGCACTTTGGGACCATTGAGGGGGCACAGAATGAGTCAGAATTTGGAAAAAGGTAAACATTGTACACAGTGGTCTCTCCCTGCAGGCACTGACACACATCAGGGGAGCTCGAAGCTCTCAAAAAGCTCCAACTGAATGAACAGACAAGCAGTAACACTTAGAGATATGGAAGCGCTGCTACTTATACTGGCATGGGCTGTTTGGGTGAGATAGCAAGGGGGCTGGGACAGTTTATCTGTTTGATATGCTGAGCAACAAGCACACAAACAGCAAAGAGCAGAGAGGCACTTTGCTAGGGCTGTTTTCGAAAGTTGCGTGGAAATTCTCTCTGAGTGAATGTTTGGCGAAATAGGCTTGAATGAATGTTTTTATAAGCGATTTGAGAGATGTAATAGTGTGGTCACTGCATGGTGGTGAAGAACTCATAAAATCTACCAGGATGAGATGGAATATATTTTCAGTTTGATGGAAAGGGAGGGGTAAATCAAAAAGTGCTTTATGTTTTCTGATTAAATAAATTCACTGCTGAAAAAAAAATTATATATCATATATTTTATGAGTGGTTGGTGACCTTGATTGTATGTAGCCGTGACTACACTGCATGCAGCTCAACCCAACACCCACCCCACCAACAAACCTCTCGTCCTCATCCTCTGAGGAATCCTCAGCCACCCGTTCATTCATCTAGTCAGTCCAATGTACCAGTCAGACGGGACCAGCAAACAGACTCTGATCAAACTGATTTTGTCTCGACCATCTGGTCCTGACACGAGTCAGATTCTGCACAGGATTGGATTTTGGATACGAAGCCTGCAACTCTAATGTCCTGTGAAATTGCTGACATGTCTGACTTTGGTTGACCAATCAATTAGACTTATCTCTTCAAGCAGGCTAGGCATGACCAATGTAGCTTTGTTTCATCATCATCACAGAAAGCGGATGCAGACACAGAGCCTGTCTGACTCGTCGTTGGCTTGGGAAATGTGTTTTAGAGCCTGTCGGCTGTAATGCATAACTAAAACTATTAAATACAGTAGAGTAAAATATTACAAATGAACACTGTCAGAGGGGGCTTAAAGCACTTCCTGTAAGAGGATGTTAAAGAGAGGTTTGCAAGTAGAAGAGTAAAGAAACAAATAATAAAAAATAAAAACACCTACAGTCATGAAATGGCGTTTTGGGACATCATAGATCCCTTCCTTCTGCTGACTGGTTGGGACCTGCATTGGATTGGAGGTCGATTCAAATGTAAGTAACAGAGCAACACCTTGTTTATGTTTAGGCTGGGTTATTAAGGAACAGGAGCTTACAAGAACTGAAACATATCTATTGAAAAAGAAAAAGCTTACTAGATCAATTTTGATTCAGTCCATATTTTTAGACCTAATTTTATCTTTTAGAGCAATAGGATTATGCAAATTCTACAGCTGTTTTGTTGAATCAATCCTACTTAAATCAATATTGATTGCAAATAATGCTTGAGGATGGTGCATGCTGGTTCTGTGAGTATTAAGAAAGGCTATTGTTATTCTGCAACAGTATGTCTCAACTGGTTCATCTGACAATACGAAAATGCCTCAGCTCTCGCCTCTTTTGTATACTTCCCTCACATTTATTCGAACTATATGTGCTCTTAACCTCGCCGCCTTTCTCTCCTATCACTCCCTCGACTGGTTAACTTTCCGTTACGTTTTCCCCAAGTCTATTGATCTTGTTTCATTCTGAGATCAAATGGCATGGCAAGTGATTAATCTCTCTCTGCATCTTTCATCTTCAGAAGAACGCAAGATACAGAGAGGCAAAAAGAGGAGGAGGAGGAGGAGAGGGAGAAAAGGGGAGGGAGGGGGATAGGATTAAACCATACGACAGGTCCCTGGAGTCCTCCTTCAAATGGTCTAAGCCAAAAGGTCAAAGTGTTGGATATATAAAAGGAATCTGGCATAGCCTACAGGCTTTGGGTGAACTATCCAGACAAAACAGCTGACCTTGACTCTTCCGCAGCTGTTTTTTACGCTATATGAGGCATCATTTTAAACATAAAGCTGCTGCCTTTTTATTTGTAGCATCTTTAAAGTTATAATCTTTAAGATTTTCATGAAACCGAATGGTCGTCATTTTTGCAGCAATAGCTATTAAATGTATTTACATTCTCTAACTACCTCTTTATATATTGATTTCCATTGGTAGTGGCAGAGTCCGCCATTCCCATGCTAGATTCAATTGCCTTCAGATCCATGAGGGAGCCACAGGAAATGATGGATATAAGTTATCCAGTTTAATCCAGTGTAATTTTAGCTAATTTATCTAATTTATTCTGTTTAGTGTTCACTCTCTTTTCATTGTATCAGAGGTGTATTAAGTTACTGCTAATGGAACATCTTACTGCCGCTTCAACTGGCAAAACACAGGTGACTTTTAATGGGAAGAAGCCACAGGAAATTAAAAATAATTGTCATCCTGGATAGACCAGCAGTAGATATGCATCTACAAAGGAGCAGCCACAGTGAGATGTTAGTTGAAGAGTTTCAGGTGACAGGCTGCACCTTCAGCTCCTCAGCAAGGTAACCAACTTCACTGTGTCCCGCTGGTGCGTGGAAAACTACTCACGGTTGCAACTATTGACTGACTTTATTAGAACATGAGTTTTTTGCACTGTAAACAGATACACCAGTTACTCTTCTGCTTTATTTCTGACAAAGTAGCTGTTCAAATGTTTGCTGTGTTCAGCCAAACTCGGAAACCAAACAAAACCTACGGCTTATATATAATATTAATATTATATATATACATAACTGAAACCTAGATTGATTGCACAGCTTCATTTGGTTCTTCCCTCAGTGGGTTTTCTTTAGCCACATTAAAACAGAAACCTTAGTTTAATCTACTTCTAAAGCTCCTTTCTCCAAAAAACAATCTGCACTTTGTAACTTCTTCAAGAAAGTTGCCATAAGGTCATATTGTTAGTACTGTTTCTATTATCATCTATCACAGGGTATGAAGAGGGAGAAAAAAAGGGGGCAATGCTTGTCTTTGTACCTGATAAACGCTCTCCTCTGACTGGGGGCCACGGAGGGGTTCGTGTCCAGCCTCAAACACTATGTACTATAGAACAGAAGTAGTGGGCAAGGTGTAGAAGTGCAGAGAATAATGAGATGGGAAGAAGAGAGAAAGGTTGGGATATAAAATAGAGAGATACAGTGAGGGAGTGATACATGACGAGAATAAATGAAAGCACAGGGGAGCGAGGATGGCGTCGAGTAGGGAGTGAAATGATATCAGGTATATGAAGGGTGTAAAAAAATGGGGCATGAGAAAGAGGAATGGAGGAGATGAAGAGAGAAAGAAAAAAGAGTGAGGTGGGAAGAGGAAAGAGCACAAGTATAATAGGTCAGGCAGTAGTTCAAGGCAATGTGGAGGTCCTAGCTAGAGGTCTTCAACATCAGCAATGTGAGGCTCCACTTGTTTGAGAGAACAGAGACCCAGAGGTCAGAATATTTGCTTGAGATCCATGAGTGAAGTCCCATAATTCCTCAAATCGGTCGGTATCTCCTCTTAAGGTTGACGTTAATAAATGCCTTTGTGTATCTTAAGTTAAAGAAATAGTTTGAAATTTCGGGAAATATGTTTGTTCACTTAGAAGATTGATATCTTTCTTATATCTGTGTGGTAAATATGTAACAGGAGCCAACAGCCGGTTAGCTTAGCATTAAGACTGAAAACAGGGAAACAGCTAGCCTTGCTCGGTCCAGTTGTAACAAAACTTGTTTGACAGCTCATCAGTGTTTATTTTCCGAACAAAAACTATGACGAAAAATATTCGTTGACTAACTATTGGAAAAATATGATGAAAACGAGACTAAAACTAAATAAAGAATACTCAAAAGAAAGAACTGACATATGAAATTTAAGTGATAGAGCGGCAGCAAAACATCTGGACATGAACATTTAAAAAAAGGTAAGTTATTGTAACATTATCAAATGCTGTGGATGTAACGTTTACACTTTCAGTCTCCTATCTTTTTGTTGCTATCAGAAGGAATGACTAAATTGTAGGATTAATGTTGATAGTCCACCATCTAAATCTTCCCCTGGATGTTTGCTAAAGAAATATCACTAGCATTATCCGATGCTGTAGCTTCTCCTCTCAAGTTAAACCCAGACAGTATTTTAATGAAGTGAAACTAGATTCTGAATGATCCTCCGCTCTGCAGTCAAGAAAATAGGTAAGTATATAGGTAGTAGCTGCGGTAATGTGAATACTGAGCAGAGCTAGTCTGTTGTATAACTTCAGAGTAAAGTCACATGGGCACTGTGTGTGAATAAGGAAATGTGCCTTTACAACTAACCTTGTGATACCCAAGAACAACACCTGTAACCATGGTAACTGTGCACATCAAAGATGGCGACAGCAGCAGCCTAAAATGCTTTTAAGATATAAAAGATGATTTTACTACAATGTGAAATGAAACTAAAATGAGTAAATAATTAGTAAAACTAATACACATTTTCGTCAGAAGACTCAAATTAAATCAGGTGCCAAACTATAGCACCTGTAATGCTTCTACTAATTAGAGAACGTTACAGGCGCTGGTAGGTGGATTTCGCTCCCTTTGGACAGAACAAGGCTAGCTGTTTCCCCTTGTTTCCAGTCTTTATGCTAAGCTAACTGGGCAGCTGTCTCCAGAGACATATTTACTACACAGACATGAAAGTGGTATTGATCTTCTCAGCAAGAAAGTGTATAATAATAATGTAATAAGTGTATTTTCCAAAATGTCAAAGTACTCCTTTAAGATTCTGGCCACAGTCTGGAGTTTTGTCAACCAACATCAACATAATCGAAAGCTGCAAATGGAATGACTTTATGCAAAACACACTTCAAGAGCAAAGAACAGAGGTGATCTGGGAGGTGGTTGGACGTACCACTGAACATAGCATTCAGAGTAAGAGTTAGTGTTGTCTGTATTCAGTGTGAGCAAACACAGAGAAAAACAAATCATGTTCAGCCAAATAAATGCACAGGGCAAAAAGGGTGGGGTAACAACCAGTCAGGGGGGGCATGTCTTTGGAAGAAATCAGAACATTGACACAGATCAACTTAAAAAATATGGTTTTACAACACTGCACTGGCAAATGGGAGTTGAATGGTTGAACAAAACTGTCCACTAGGATGGTCTACTGTTTACTGGAATGGTGGAATATCATGAATCATTAATTCAAGCAGATCAGTGACTGGAGGAGATATATTTAAATTGAGGATTAATTATTTTTTTTCTTTTATTCGAAGCTTTATGAGTGAAAACAGCACCAGTGAAGCTAGAAGCTAGTCAGCAGTGTTTGTTTCCTGCTCTGTGTGCCTACAGTCCTACCTGGTAAACTGGATCGTCCACTTCGTCCTCCAGGATGGTCTGTGCAGTGGTGGAACAGAAGGCAGATGACACATTTTGTTTTTCATCAGTTAGACAGCTGAATTTACAGTCTCATTAGAAAATAAATGGAAGAAGGACGGAAAACAACTCAGTCTGTCTTTTCCTGCAAGCAAGCATAATTACAGACTGACAGTGTGAAACGGTGGTTTGGTGTGTCACAGACACATGTATACACGCATACATTTCCCGTCAAAGATCCCAGTACAAATATAACACATCTAAACCTGTTGAATTTTACAATATATTTAGATATTCAACATAGGAATCAATGGCGCAGACAAACACAGTCTGCGATGCACTTCAGAGGGAGCTTGAAAGTGTTAAGATTTTTGTTGTGTGAATGAATTGCTGGCTGAGTTATAACGTGTGATCTCGCCTCCGAATGGGAAATGAAACTGAGAAAAAAGCAGAAATGAGCTCTGAGTGTCCTACCTGGTAGACTGCCTGCTCACACTGTTTGTCCTTCTGGGCTTTCTTCTCCATCTCCTCCCGCTGTTTAATGTCGTAGATGAGTGTGAAGAGGTCGCGCAGGTCAATGATGAGAGGCTCCGCCTGGATGACAGACATGGGGAGAGAGGAAATAGGATAGGAAGGAAATTAAGGAATGGAATTAAGGAGAGGGAAGTAAGGAAGGAGTGGGAATTGACAAACAAAATGAGACCCAGGTCAGTGAAGAGCAGTGTACATGTGTAGGCAAACAGCAGGTGGAGGAGGGGGAAATGGCAAATCCGGAAGATTTGGAAGAAGTAAAGCAAGGCCGGAGGATTATGTAAACTTTTTGAAAGTAATCTCCAGGCTTATAATACACACTCAATAAAAAATTCAAACAGTAATTGAGTAAATATCATTGCTTATTTAGGATCTCTCGAGTCAACTATTGCCTTGTTTAAAATACACCTGACATGAAACTAATGTAGTAGAAACTAGCACTAGAGGTGACCAGTAGTGTCATGTTAGGATTAACATTGGTTTGTTTGTTAGATTACAAATACTATCACAGTCTCCATCACAGTCATTTAGAAACAAATCCCAAACACCTACAGAACACATCACAGCAATCTTTTTGACTTATTTTCTATTCTTCCTGGCCAGTTAAAACCATTGTTTGTCTATTTCCAGTCTCAACTGGAGCTCCTGAGTTGTAGTCTGACACTTGAGACTTGGACTCAAACTTGATAAAAATGCGAACTTGATTCTCCATTAACTTGACTTGAGACTTGAAAGCAAGAACACTTAAACTTTAATAAAAAATAAGTCTTTTTGACAATGCTAGGAAGGCATTAGCCATTAGCCACACAGCTTAAATATTGAATTGTTAGGCCTCAGCATTGCAGGGACTTTGTCACAGATGATGAGAAGAGGTCTCCTACTTTACTGTAAAGTCCATTCGCAGTGTATGTGCACCTATGGCATCAAGTTTCTACATCACACTGTAAAGGTTGCATACTAGACCAGGATTGACTTCCAAATTATTTGTGATGTCATGAATCATTTAAAGTCATCATTACTTAAAATCTGATATTTAATCTGAAACTTTCCACTGTCAGCAGATGAATGTAAAAACATCCTTCCGTAAAAACTTACGACAAACATCCGACTGCAGAAAAAGAACATATTTTTGACTTGAGAGGGACTTTAACGGCCAGTCTTTAGAAATCTAAAATTGTTGCCCTCTTAACTTTGACTTTTCTTATGTAGTCTTGTGATTTGGTTTGGAACTGCTGTGAAGGACTTGGACTTGCCCTCACTAACTTAAAAACAGCTCTAGCAGAGAGGAAAAGCACTTACTGACTGAGCGGTCTTGATGGCCACAAACCTGTGGTGGCCCTCCTTTCCGCAGACATAGCCAAAGGCCCGGTGGTCCCTGGTGTCCTTGGCGATGTAGCTGATCTCGTGGACTGAGTGGTGATGCAGGAGCACCTACAGCACGTGGCAGGGAAGTTAAGTTAGAGGAAAAACCATGTAGGCCATGTGAAACAGGGTCACAATCTACCTTGTGTCTTGCTCTTCTTAAAAATGCAAAAAACATCTTCATGTTGTTTCATTTTAAAATCTGACTTACAAGGACTGTCACTGTGTTGGCAAGAAAAAGTAGGTCAAACCTACATTAAACTTCTTTGCGTATTGTTGAGCCAAATGCAACCGACCAGCACAGAGGGAGCCTGAAAGTCTCTGACAGAGGAGGGAGAGATTCAAGGCTGTATAAATCTCTTTATAGAGACTATAGTTACTATAGAACTTGTAATCCAGTAGCATCATTGTTTTGTGCTGTTAGATGCGTTAGACTGGGTGGCAGACATCCTTTTTTCTTCATTTATGTCCAGCTTTGATATCAGCAGAATTTGAATTCAGCAGAAAATCCCTTTTTTTTTCTCCTTCCAAATCTACTGTTTGGCGTATTGATAACATTTTGGACTATTGGGCAGCACTCACTCTGCAAACATCCCAAAAAAGCTCACAAAACATAGACACACACCCATATATACAGAATGAGAGTAAATCAGCTGTCACTCAGGCACACCCACCTGCTGCTCCACTATTAGCAGATAAGCTTAGGCACTAGGGAGGAGCTTTCATTTGAACATTAGCCAATATTCAGAGGGGAGCGTCGCTAGTAACGCCTCAGATTAATGTAAAATACAAAACTAATATGACTAGTCTACTCGATTCAGCAGAGAATCATGTCAGCTTTACATAAAGTATTTCCATCTAAATGCTTGCTGACGCTGCCTGCACTGGAGTGATCCCCATTTCCACCGTAATAACTCAAGAGGGATATTAAGTGTGGAGTGTTATTTACTGCCAGTAATCAGTAAATAGAATGAAGAGCATTAGGGGCATGATTTCCAAAACAACAAATGAGCTTGTCAAAAGCTGGTGAGCTGGTTGGTGGTGGCGGGAGGCTTAATGTTCTTTTTCATTACAGGCGAAAGACACGCCACCATCACCACCAGTCATATTAGAAAGAGATATTATCAAAGATGGCTGTTTTTTGGGGAATAGACGGTTGGTGGTGGGGTGGGGGTCGGCAGCCACGGGACAATCGCTGTTGCGTAATTATCAGTTTAGCGCTAACGACAGCTGAGGTGGAGCCGTGGTGTAATTAGCATTAGCAGCAATGATCATTAAGGGGTGGAACTGAGTGCTAATTATCGGTTAGCGCTGATGAGCAGAGTGGGCCTATCTAGCCAACACTACGCCCCAGGACGGGGGAGAGCCGAGCCCCTCGATCATCCTGTAATGGAACAGCAGGCCTCTGAGTCCGCCAGGGGGATGAAAGCCAGGGTGGAGACGGAAACAGCCCGTCTCATAACATCACCATAACATTGCTCACTGCGCTATCATTAGCAGGCAGACAGGGCCTGAGTGATCTTAAGTAGGTCCTGCAGCATACCCTTAATCTTACTGGGGTATGTGTTAAACCAGTTTACTCAGGGTCAAATATCAAATGCAAGACCGGTAATTTATGCTGTCAAGTTCAATTTTTATGAGCTAAAGGGCAAACTGTCCTGTTGAAAGCATGTTTCGGCTTCTTTTTGCATGCTACTCAGAGAATAATTTGAATTTTTGCATTTGCTGTGATGAAAATGACATATTCTTTCAGCATAACCTTGCGAATAATCTTCCGTCTGTGCAGGTATTGCAGTTGTACTAATATGTCAACCGTGCCAGCCAGGCTTACAAGATGGCGGCCCTGGCAGCCGTTGTGAACTGAACCGTGCGAGCGTCTGCCCTCTGGATGTCCTATACTGTAGGTTCACAGTGCAGCAGCTGGCAGAGGCCTCACAGTGCAGCTCCGCCACGGGCCCGCTCGCTGACATGCTACTCACCCCTGATCTTTCACAGTAAATCTTGATCCCACCGAAAGAGACCGTCAGGAAGACTCTCTGCTTGTGCTCCCCTTTGGAACGTGCCGAGGAAGCCATTCCCTGCAGGAGATTAAAGACAAACGACATGAGGAGATGAAAGGATATGACCTCAGCATGAAAGACAATGAGCCTTCTTCACTTCCAACTCAGGTGAGTGTGACAGTGGGAGATGGGGGGAGAGATTGAGTGGGGAAGATTGGGGGGTAGGGTGACAGGAGTTACATAAGGTGTGATAGGACAGAATGTTCTTTCATGTGCCTTTTCTTGAAGCTTCACTCTCAGAGGAATTCACACATCGCCTTGTGCAGCGAGTCTTATTATTATTGCGGCCTCTTTTTTTTCCCTCTCTCCCTTTTCTTAAAGTAGGTCTACTGCACTTCAACGTGACATACACAAGTGCTAGCTAACAACAATAAGGTGAGATATGCTGACAGAATGGATCGCGCTGCTGACCGACCAGCTCGCTCCGACAACTTCACATAGTGCTGACTGAACAACCAATCCAGCCTTTGAAGTGCGTTTTTCCCATGGATCTCAGCAGCTCCTTCTTCTTACATTCTCAACTCTAATAAAGAAAACAATTAACATTTCCACCGACTTCCATTTGACGCCACCTGTGTGCTTGACATGTCTTTCATAGAACAAAGCCTGCAAGAGTAAAGAAGAGAGAAGAAGGGAAAATAGGAGAGGAGATAAGAGGAGAGTGCTGTGCTGAATACGGCCTGACAAAACTGCAGGCCCAGTAACATCAGCTACCCTCCACCTCAGATATTTTCTTTTAAACCTTAGCTAAAATTTAAAACCCAAGCCATTACTGCTCTTGCATTAATCACCATCAAGCGCTGCTTCTGCAGGGAGATGTTAAAGAAAAAAATATCCATCCATCATGACATACATAAATGAATATTCATATGAGAAAAAGAGCTGTGGGAATAAAAGGAGTAAAGAGGGGAAGATAAAGAGCAGAACAAGCAACAGGGATAAGGGAGAGATGAAGTAAGTGAGAAAGAAGTGGGCGGGCGGGGGAGTCGATGGATGTTGTCAATTAGCAATCGGCTTCTCCATTTGGTGGATTAGTCCTCAAGGCAGCAAGAGGCAGTTCAATAGAGCCCCCGTCCCCTCCTCTATCCCCTGTCCAGATAATAGCAGGTCTGTATCGACTGCTCCATTGACTGTAACTGGCTGGTGGCTGGTGACTACTGGAGTCATATGGAGGGCACTACTGAAATGTCAGATCGAGGCAGGGAAAAAAGTTGTTTTATTGGACATATCTCTTCGAATGGGTTTGGGTGATGAAAGGCTTTGCCTTCTGGCTGCACTGCTCTTCTTGTGGGGCTTCCCACTCATTTAAGCTCCAGCAAAGTCTGTGAGAAGATACTTAAAAAGCCATGCATATACGTCCTCTTTTGGAGAAGGATTTATCCCGTAGCCACCTACAATACTGCAAAGATGCTTATGTGCTGCTTTTTACCCCAACAAAGAGAGTGATAAGTATTTCCTGCCTTTCACTTTGGAGCCAGTAAACACAGCTGGCATTTAAGAAGATACAGAATAAACTTTTGAGAAGAGGAAGCATGCTATTTCTGAGTAATGTGTCATTTTCTTAATTGACTGTTAGCTAAAAACCCTCCCCTGAACAGCAATTGTCTAATCATAACTGAACAACCGTAAGCAGTGTGTATGGGGCTCTATTGGTAGCAATACTTCTCATCTCTCTCTCTCTCTCTCTCTCTCTCTCTCTCTCTCTCTCTCTCTCTCTCTCTTTCTCTCTTCATACTGATTTATTTTGTGGAATTACAGGTTGTTGTTCAAAAAAAGTCCCATTTGCGACAAGCGCATCCACTTAATATTTAGTCACTGATCCTGGATTGGGAACGTTAGCGCTCGCTCTACTGCTTTTGGGAATCTTACACTCCGGCAATCCCTGCCAAACTTGTTATCTGAGATAGTTACGCTCGCCAAACTAGTCCTTATCCTAGTTTATGTGAAATACGATACAATCAATAATAAATGAATGAATTAGCTCTACAATGCAATACAAGAACAATACAGTTTATTTATTTCCATGGATCATCAACTGATGAGCATGCTAACTCTTCATCTGGGACATCTAGATTTAGCTTCAGTCTTTTAGCTCGATGCCAGAAAACGCCATAAAGCGCATATTTAAGACCCCTTTTACAGGATTCTCTTTTTAAAACAAGTCCACTAAAACCACTCAAAAATCAAATGTAGACGGCCTTTTCAACCAAGTCACGGAGCTAATGTTAGCCTAATTAGGCAGGTAGCTTCAGATGATCAACTCTGCTAGCCTCAGGCGTCTTTTCTGCCAACAAAATTGAGTTGCTAGAAATGAGAGAAATGAGAAGCCTGCTTTTGTCTACCACTATCTGATATCAAAGACCCGTTTTTTGGGGTTTTTTTTACGTGTGCGAGAAGCTACACAGGAATAGCAGCAGTAGAGGAGAGGGGCTTAGGGAACAGTGAATTTACAGTACATTTCAGTCAGCTACACATACTTCAAAACAAGTTCAACAGTACTCAACCCTTTCATCCACAATCACTAGTTTTCAGACTTTTTTCTGAATTTACTGTAGGGCTTTAATTTGACCTAATTTACTTGCAAAATTCTGTAAAGAACACTGGCTCAAGCATTATCTGGGTCACATTATCACAGTTTGCATATGTGCTACCAGTATAACATGGTGGACTTTGTTGTAAAAATAGAAGGCTGTGACTGACGTGAGCAGACATAGAAGAGGCAGACAAATTGAAGGGGGGTTAGTGTTCTTGCAGTCACTTGGTAAAAAGTGAACATTTCTTACTTAAGTGACATACTGCTTTAAGCTTCTCCGAATAGGAAGCCAGTTGGCCCCCAAGGTCAAAAAAGCTGTATGAATAAATGCAGAGAGCTTTGAGCAAGCTAAAAATACAGCTGCACATGAGAGGGAAAATAAAGCACAAGGCTGCTACCATTTTGCAAAGAAAGAAAGCTTTTTCTACATGACAAAGAACTACGGAATAATATGGTTGGACTTTTATTTGTTCTGTCTGGTCAGTTCTTTACAGAGCCTCAGTGAGTCATATACAGAACAAGACAGCTCCCATGACTCATTCAGCAGACAATACAGACATGGCCGGGCATGCCTTTTCCAAATTTGACTGAGATGAGTGAAGAGACTCAATGATGTCCCCACACAGACACACACTCACACACACATTTACAAACACACAGACGTCTGCACCTTCAGCTTCATCATGGAGTCCTGGCACAGCTTGTCCCCACGCGCCGCTGTCACCTCATCAATCCCGATCAGCTTGGCCTTGTAGCGCACGCCATCTCCACGGAAACGCTTAATAAGCCCCGCCTCACTGCGGTCCTGACCTGCACCGGGAGAGACAGAGAGGACAGGATATAAGGAGGAGAAAATGAAAGAGAGTGATTACAGGAAACAAGGATGTGTGAGCTCAACTGAATCCTAAAACTCTAGTATCATGACCAGCTTGAGGTATAGAGGCTACTCTGTGTGTGTGTATGCGTGCGTGTGTGTGTCTGTGTGTGTGCGTGCACGTGTGTGTGTGTGTGTGCACATGTGTGTGCGTGTGTGTGTGTGTGAGTTGGCTGCTCCTCATATAAATATTTATGGAATAGGAAATGCAGAATGAATAGCAAATTAGCATCAGCGAGCAAGATTGAAAGAAAATTGAACTTGAAATTGAAAATGGAGTTGGATAAAGGCAGTGGACTAAACGAGAAAACAACTGGAACATTGAGAACACTCTACCATCACCTATTGCAGGGCATTGTGGGGCATCCGCGCTGAAAAGGCGCGGGTGGAAGGTTACAGGGTGGCTGAGTGGGGGTGCTTACTCCTACGCATCACCCCCGCCCATAGTTCCCATGGGTGCAATTGGTGGTGACAAACCAGCTTGAATGGCTACTATTGAGGGGAATCATCTCGGTCCAGTGCTCACCCACAATCCACCAGGCCAACCCTGGCTGATGGATGTTGGTGGTGGTGGGATGGTGGCGTGAGACAGGGGGGCATTTGAAAATGTGTGTCTGGATGGCCTCGGGCTTTATACTGTCATCCCCTCCCTTCTCCCTCCCATCCCTGCTGCTGATTATTCTGTCTGTCAATCTCTGCAGCTGCCCTGACACCACCTTGACACTGACACCTTTCTCATTTCGTCTCCACGCTGTCTGCCGTCGTGCCGTTTTGATTATGAGGGCGCAAGCCCCGAGCACTGTCTCGTGCGTCTGCAATGTATAAACCTTCCCCTCATAACCTGTGCGCGGTTTGTCAGCCACAAAACACAGACCCGCCGCATTTACACAAAGAGATAGCAGGATTTCAAAATCAAGGTCACTGGCACCTTGGAGAATTTAACAGTTTTCAGGCCCCTTGCACACTCAATTCTAGGTCATGAGCGCATATACAGTACATCAGTTAACGGCACACTTAAATGGGTGGCTAAGCTGTGTGTGAGAAGAGAACAAGGTTTAACATTCCTATAAGGCTGTTAGGCTGCACTTGAAGACCATATTACACCGAAATGACCTTATTCCACCCAGAAACACATGTTATTGCCCTCCATACTACACATACCATAACACAAATTGAATTTCTTCTTCCATCCCTGCAATTTCCAAGTAGGAATTGAAAAGAAAAAGGCAAATTGAGATGTTTGTGCAAAAGGAGAAAAAGAAAAACATTCAAATGCAAGCTCTTGTCTTGGCTATGCACACCCTCTTACTAATTCATGAGGGCACAATTCTCTAAAGGGGGGGAGGGCTTGACGATGCTAAAGTCATTAAAGTCTCTAAGCAAGTGAATGTCAAATCTGGGTCTAATTCAGACTTGTTTCTCTGCCAGAGGATAATGAGTCTTACATACAGCCACCGCGTACCTCTGAACATGAACCAGCTTGGCATGCACACAGCAACCATGTAGAGAAATTAACATTCCCACTTTGATGACACTCACTAAAAAGACAAACTGTAGACAGTTTAACATTTGTTAAACCTTGCGGGACAAATGCAAGAGAGAGTGGACTCCTACAGTAATTATTGCCGTGCCTGATTCAAACCATCCCTCATATAGTGACTGTAGCCTATTCATACAGTATTATGTATTCCATCCTGATTTTACTGACTCATACACTCTGTAATGTAATGTAAAATGCATGCTGCTCCAGTTGCATTTTAAACACGATCAGTCCAATTCAGTGCAGCTCTCTCAGATGAGCTTTATCCAGATGTTCTGTGCCATTTGTTTCTTTACATACAGCGTGCCATTTCCCCTAATAACACTTCAGGAGAGATTTAGAGGTTTACGCACAGATCCTCAAAAAAGTAGGCCTTGCATACCAAATGAGAGTCTTGACACAGTGGCATAACTTGTATGCTACGTGCTCTGGGTTCAGATCCAGACGAGCGAGTGTGCTGTATTTGAAAACTAAAGAGCTGCGGGGCATGCTGTTTCATGTTGTTACACACTGTAAGAAAAGAGAAGAGAGAGGGAGAAGGTGTGTGTGTGTGTGTGTGTGTGTGTGTGTGTGTGTGTGTGTGTGTGTGTGTGTGTGAGGGGGGCTGACACATATTTCTCTGGATTTACAATTACCCAAGGTTGAATGGTCCTCACAATATTTCTGGCCCAAAAGTCCGATGCTCATAATTTGTCTGACAGAGGGCGGCCTAAAGCATTGTCTACTGTTAGTCTGTGTCTAAGTGTATCCTACACATCCTACACAACATGCCTGCCATTCGGAAACCCTGGTGGTCTGAGATGCATGCGACCTGGGTTACGATCCAGCCTGGGACTTGTGTGACATCTCTCTCTGCCCCCAATATATCTTGTTGCCCTCATTTTCCACCAATCAAATAAACTTAAATGCCTTAAAATTGCCAATTCTTCAAAAACGGGGCTGAGATTTAACAGCCTGTACATCAGAGGGCCTCAAATCAAACGCTCCTATCACCCACCTGACACACAGGACCTGCACCAGGACCATGGAGAGAACAATTAATGTTCGCTCTGCTCCATACTGTTTCAGAGCATGTCTCTGATCACAGTGTTGCAGCCTCCTCCTTGCCATACTAGAATGGGGACAGTGAAGGGACAGATGGCAACAGATGGAGAGTCAGAAGTGCCCCTCCAGATATAAGGACTTGGCAACAAGAAACTTTTTGTTGGGGATCTGGGCATCGAGGCAGCTTAACCTTTGAACCTTTCGGAGTGTGTATCTTTGTCTGCCTGTCTCTTCCTGTCAATGTTCCTCTCTGCTAGAAGGCCACACACGCAATCCGCTGAGCTATAATGAGAGCGCACGGCGATGCCTACTGCTGAGTCATGCGTTCACCTACATGCAATATACTATGATAGCCATTATTTTGCGTGTCTCTGCACAGGACATTTGAAATGAAAACACTAGGTATGTCCTATCAGCACAGGGGGCTGACGACTTTAAGTAGCAGTAAAGAGAATGGATGTCTGAGGAAGGCAAGTCTGTCCCCGCCATCTGCCTCCCCCATGTGCACAAAATAACTTAATAAGCCTCAGCAAACACACATACACATTTACAAACATTAATGGCAGCACGTGTTCCCTCGTCCAACCCACACTGATGTCGAAATTCCTCTGTCCAATCTCTGGCATTAAACACAAGATTGAGGTTTTGGTTTAATCACTGATCGTTAAAGCAGTTACGCAGTTAATGAGGGGTATTGTGCACATTGTCAATGCAGCGGACAGACCACTGAATCACTGCAGAGTTACATGCAGGTATTGATGTGTGCTGGGTGGTGATGGGTGAGATCATTCTTTAGGTAGGGGCTCCACAATGCTATTATCACATTCACGGTGAAGCAGTAGGATGAACGGCCGGATAAGCGCACCAGCAAATGATTTGGTCAAATGTGGGAAATTGTGTTTGAATAGGGTGAAATGGTTAGTATTTGTACAGCCTCTTTCAATCTTTCCAATGTACATTCAGTGTGAAAGGTGACTGGTGATTTAATCTGTGGTTTGTCTTTTTCTATGTCTGTTTGCTGGGTCTCCGTCCCCCCCCCGCCCATGTCTCTCTGTCCTCCAACACTTGTCCCCCTTTTTGAAATGAATCTTTTTTTTGTGTGCACAGATTACAGTGGGAGAGCAACAGTTGCTATGGAGATAGAGTAAAGTCACGCATGTAAAGCAATTCTGCTGATGGATAGAGGGGAGCTTTGGCTTTACCATGGCAGTCAGAGTTTGCTGCAGTAAGGTTTAAAAGGAATGACGAGTCCTAAAATCACTAAAACAAAACACAATAATATTTTGCCCAGTGCAACCCTAAAAGTTCATTTTCTTCCAATATCCGTTTAAGTTAATTACAAATCAATATTCAAAAATAAGCAGTGCATGCATTAAAGCATACAACTGGATATATTCTAGATTTTCCTTTAATTTGTTAATTTTTCAATCAGTAATACCATTACAGTTACTAATCCCAGTAATGCTTTGTTACTTTGACATTTTATGTGCAGAGACAGGTCTTGTACGTGCTTGGCTCGGCAGCTGGAGGAGTGGGGAGGCCTGCGGCAGAAGAACACGATCGTATCTTCAGATAACTCAAGAGTCGTCTTATTTAGATGTGGTGTCTTCATCTTAGCCACTGGCCAGCGAGGGTGTGTGAACAGTCTAGACCTGCTCTGTTTGTCCTGAGATAACTTTTTTTATGAATTGGCGCTATACAAATAAAACTGAATTGAAATGAACCATGCGGTTTCACTGTGAATACAGGACTTTGAGAGTGATGTGAACAGTCACTCAGGCTAAGCTAACTTCTAATGTGCTGTAAAGCCGGGCCTGTTGCTTGTTAAATGACCATGGTATTTTTGCACACGTTAAATACTTTTTTGGTATTCGCTTCCTTGGCTAGTGTTAGGTGATAAGACCGGTCTTTTTATTTTTGTGCATTACAAGTTAAAGCATGGAGAGGGTTATCTTTGTATAAAGACTGAGGACAGCTAGCCTGGCCCGCTCCGAACTACAACAGCAAAGATCCTTAAATTAACATGTTGTACCTTGTTTGTTTAATTTGTGCACAAGCATTAAAAAAAAACTGCACCGGGAGAGACAGAGAGGACAGGAAAAACAGTGGGGAGTTACATGCTGGAAGCATTTCTTGGCCATGTCAGTGATATCATGGAGTCTCTTTACAGGGATGACAAGACTTCAGTTCACTTCACTCCACTTTTAAAGTTCTTTGCCCAACACTGTTCAATGAATTACACTGTTGGGCTGGGGGACATGTTCCTTTATAACAATGAATATTGGAACTGTAATTCCAACATCTTAGTGCTGTAAATACTGCACTATTTATTCCTCTTTAGGTAATGTTTGCTAAAAAAACTGCAATTCCCTGTTGAAGATTTATATTTGTGTATTTAAAAGAAAAGACTTACATCTTCATGTGTGAATGGGAGTGTAACAAACAGGGGAGGGAAATCAGACAGTAGCGAGAAACAGATTTACACATTCTGGGTTTATTGTCTTTTCATGGGGATTGTTGACAAGATGAAAAGTATAAATTAGCAGCTACCTTGTCCTTTAAATCACACCAATTTCTTCTGTTGCGTCGCACCCACATGAATATAAACTGTGCTTTGTCTAAATATATGTCATCAGCCTGATCCTCAGCACTGTCCTTCATCTGGCCCCAGACTGCTCACAACCACCACTAGCTGTGCAGCCTGACACTCTGCGTGCATTTATGTTGTCACATTTCCATTTATATGGATCTAAATAGCATCTTTGCTGATTGTGACAATGATCCCTGCAGCACATGTGATTAACATGGTAAAGTCTGATAGCCTGTGCTGATAGCCCCCTCCGATGAGCCGCATGGCCACGTGTGTAGTAGCTCCCTCACTCTGCTCTCCCCCCTCCACTTAACTCAAATCAATGGGCCCTCCTCCAGCACGGCCATTTATCTGAGCAAGCCGACAGGGCCAGTGAAACAGCCACAGAGGACCTGGCCCCGCGGCCTCGATACAGCCAGCCCGCAGAAGCCAGATTTACTGGACTAGCTGGAGTGGCTTTATTCATGGATGGAGAAATGGGGAAAAAAAAGGATGAAGAGAGGGAGGGCAAACGAGAGAGCAACCTCTTCCTTCCCCTTGCCTGTGAATCTCACTCTTTCTGCCTCTCTATCTCCTCTTCTTTCCTCCTCTCAGCCAATTCAATCCCATTTCAATCTCCCTGTGAACGTTCGGAGAATGCCTCGTCCTATTACATCACTTATGCTGTTCATCAAAGCGACAGGGTGTGAATTACCCTGTCCATGACACCTAAATCATGGCACTACCAAACCCTGGGGCTACATGGAATAGCTGTTACTACATCTGGATCCCTGGGATGAGACAGGGAGCCTCTCGGCGGGCTTGACTGAGTGAAGCTTCTCTCCAGCGTTATTTGGCTCCATCCAAACATAACTTAAGGTTATGTTCACTGCCTGCCAAACATGAGAAAGCTGCCATCCCCATTTTGTCCCAACTCCCTTTTCTACACGTTTCTGGTCTTCATCTATTTTCCCCTCAACATTATAAATCATACTTTTATCTCAAGCCACAAAATGATAGACTCCGTGTGAGTCTAATATTTTAGATGCATCTATATTAGATAGAATTACAGAATTGGTGTACTAATGCATTTCTGAAGCAGAGATGAGAGCGTTTGGTAAGCAGAATCTCACGTACCTTTGATCCTCCTGGACTCCTTTCGCTGACTGGTTTTGACACCCGGCTGGAGCTCGGCCTCCGCTGACATCCTCCACTGCTGAGTCCCTTGTCCTGCTCACAGCAGGTCCACCATGGGTTAGCAGCACAATAGCTAATCCTCCCAGCTTCCAGTGTCCAATTCCCCCCCACTCCAGTCTCTCACAGTTGCTCTTTGGTGGAGAAAATCTCATTCAAATCCATGGTGAGATGTCTGGTACTCCTCAATAAATGAAGATCCAGGATTGACGGCCCGTCACTTTTGGCCCATGGTGTTTGAGTATTGCTAAACAACACATGAAAAGATGATTGAATTATTAGCTGGAAGATCCTCTCGAGAGCAGCTTCAGATCAGATTTGACATCTTTTGGAGTGTACCTGAGTTCCCTCCGTGAAGGTCAAGTATCACATGGTCCACTGTTGCTCTTTTCTGAGGGTCCACCTATTGCTCAGGAGTAATTCCCCCCAGGGGAGACTGCAACATTGATGGAATTAAATATTGGTCTTCAGAGTAGGTCAGGAGTGGATATTATTCTTTGGTAGAGTACTTCAGATGCAGTCCGACGGCCCATCACAGTCACTTGCTCCGAGCACTGCAAGGCGAGGAGACAGGAATGACAGTTAATGTTACGCTGGAGGTGGTTAAAAATTTAAATGACAAACACATGCCCCTTGATCACTCATTACAGCATTAATTTAACGCACAAAATGGCAGGCTCCAATTTAACAAATCAACAAAGATGTTATTATCTCTTCTGGATCATCAATCCTTAATGAGAGTGCAGCAAATGCATGCTGTTCAGTGCCCACCCTTGAAGACCTGTGGCGAAGTATTTGACGCTCTTGTTTTATGTACTGCTTGTAAGTGAATATAGAACATTAAAGCATGACCGGTGCTTCTGTGCATGCAAAGCAAATTTTCTGAAGATGGATTGTAAATGCTTCCAGCTCATGCCAACAGCACGAGAGGAGGGGAAGTAGCAGAAAGCGATGAATGACAGGCTGTTTCAAAGCAAACTCCGAAGGAAATCCTGGCACAACCGTTTATAAACTGAACACCCCACATTGTGCTTTAATGCCCTTGAATCATCCACTGCTAACACAGGGGCCATGCCAAGCTGGCACCGCGGCTGGCACTGCTTCTGTTGGCATGGTAATAGGCCATTGTTGGAGAAAGAGGCCTTCAGCCTACCCTTGCCTGAAAAGAGCTGCTCCACATCGGGCACATTATCCTGTGTGACATTGTGTGACATTGGGAGTGTGTAGTGAGAATGAGGGAAAATGTGTGTCATATTTTAAAGATTTTATCATTTCATTTTGATATTCAGCATTTTTGTCAACTATTTGCCACTTCCTGAAACTGTTTCTGTTTTGCAATCGGTCATCCAAATTACAAATAGCATATCTTCTCACTTGGTGTGTTCAGACTGAAGTTAAAGGAAATTTTCAGTTCAACGTACGTTCAGCAACATACACATCAATAATAAATGCAACGATTACATTGCTACAACTTGCTTTACATTCAGTTTTAACACCCCTTGAGACTTCCCACCCTAAAAACAGAAAGACATTCCATTTGTGTTGCTTGTATAATTTAAACATGACACAATTCAACAGAAGATAGATGGCAAATATATCTTTCCAGAAAGAGAGCCCCGTTTTTTTAATTGAAATTGCATTCTATCAAAAATAAATGGTCCCTAAGAAAGATATTCACAGTGAGGATTGTGGATTATCAAGAGTAACTAGGACACTGTCTCTAGATAAATATGTTGCCCCAAATGGAATTCCATTCACCTCCACTGTAATGTAGTGGTGGAAAAATCCTCAGAGACCTCACAACTAAATTTGCGTGGTTGGGTCACATAGTGTTACCTATGTCTGCCCAGAATGATACAATGTGTGCACAGTGCTAAATCAACAGAACCTAACTACGCCTGATGGTTTGTGACACTGAACCAAACGGGAAGTTGTCGTCGGAAAATGTTTGGAAAAGGGCAAGCAGTTTAAAATAAATTGGATGAACCGTCTGTCTATCGCAGGCGAACTTCAACCAATCAGCTCCTGAACTATATAACGTAGTCAAACTCTTACCGAAGCCAGTCAGAAGAAGAGATAAAAGCATCTTGTGCATCAACAAAAGCTTTCAGTGCTGTTCTTTGCTCTTCTTTCATGAAGAAATACTCTCCAGTTGTAATATAACTGATGCTAGCAGCATCTATGCTAACCTCTTTAGCAGCTGATGTTGTTTTCAAGCAAACAGTCACTAATCCCACATGTCCTCACACACACCATAGTGTTAAACCATGCCTCTATCTCATGCCGTAGTATAAGGACACTGATTGATCTGAACCACTGTGGTTCGGACACAAGCATCACAAGAGCACAGCTGCCTTGCAAGGGTAAAATAAAAGTTTAAACAATATTTTAACATACTGTGCAAAATCACAGATTAATGTAAGGTGCTGCGATCACAAATAGGGCTACATGGCTAAATACTGCTAGAGGTAAGTGAGAAAATATGAATTTCTTTTGGAATGTGGCTTAGGCACACCTTCCACATGGATGTTGCTTCAGCGTACAGATTATGTGCATTCCTTTAGGTATAAAACAAATTGATCTTTGAAATAGTCTCTCTTCGTGCCTCCTCCTCCTCCTGCAGACAAGTCCTTCAACCCTCCCATTATTCCAAAATGAACTGTGATGTTAAGGCACATTTCATTTCCTTGAACAATAGGTCATTGCAATTGCCTAATCACCATCCGTTCTGCTTGTGCATGGCTGTCTAGACCATGTGTCACCCCTCGTGTGTGCTTATGAGGCAGATAATGTCACCCAGGTCTAGGCGAAGGGGCAATCTCCCCATAAGTACGTCTCAGAAAGAGCCTTGGAGTGTCAACGATGGGAGAGGTATTTTCCATGTCACAAAGAACCTTATCAGAATGTAATTTTCATTAGGAACGAGGGAGATATGCCTCATTGTATTAGACGGAAGAGTGATTTAATGTGATGTACGGCTGCTTGTCAAAAGCAATGCTATCTAGGTCACCCAGACTCCCCAATCTGCTCTGTGTTTTAACAGCTCCCAGTGTCTCTTATGATTTGGGTCAGAGTTAACGAGCATCAGTTGTTTCTCCAGCTACTCTCAACTGTTGGGGGATGTCAAAAGCCCTTGACAAAAGCCACCCATTATTTATTAATTTGTTCATTTTAGTTCTACCTCTCTGAAGTGCAAAGGAAAACTTCCTTGAGGGAAGTCAATTTCATTTCTGCTTGCATTTCTTTTTTCCTTCCATCAACCCGCCACTATCTCTGTCTCTGTCTGCCTGTATTTCACAAATCATCTCTTGAGATGTTTGTTTCCTGCTTGCGTCAGAATCTTTACCATGTGACCAGATTATTGAACAAAAACAGGCATGCTGTGTGTATGGCAACTCTCTCTTCTTTAACATTAAGCACATCAATCATGCAAGCCATGGATTTTTCTGGGGAGGTGTCTGAGTGTATACCTTCAAACAGCGAACTAGACCCCCTGGGCAACATGCAGGTGCATATATCTTGTCATGAAGCCTCGTTGTCTTGGGATGATATGTGAACTGAATCTTTTTTATGAAGAGAAAAAAATATTTCTTTGTTCATTTGATCAGCCAATAACCTTTGGTGAGTTGAAGTGCAGGTCAATCAAAACACTCTACAAGTCGCATTGTAAACTGGCTTACTGACCAAAAATAACATATAGTCTTGCTACTGCTTTCATTTCTGTAGATAATGCATCTACAATCAGGAATGTATTGACAATAAAATAAAGACTCTAACTTAGATTTTTGATTTATGATAGAGAGAGACAAAGGGCTGTAATCTCAAACAATTATATTGAATTCTATCTTCCCAGTCACGTCTATGAATGAAAACGATTCATTAGGTGTGATCAGATTTTCCGTCATGTTTATCCTCTCTGAAATATAATGGGCAATCACTGAAATGCGTTGAGTTTTAAATCAGATCATTCTTGAGATTTTTTTTTTCAAGCTCCAGCATTCCGGCAAGTAACATTTCCTCCTGAGAATGGTGTTTAATAGACTGCACAATCAACCTCACATTGTGAGACAAGCCTCCATGCATCTTGCCACCGATGAGTAACAAAGGTTGAACAGCCATCTATCACTGGATATGGCCAATTACACTTCCATTCACTGTGGTCCCGATGGAAGGCGCAGTCTGTGCTCTCCAGCTTGCATGTGACTGCGGAGGAGGAGCGGGTAGGCCCCGTCCCTGGGACCATCTCCGTCTCTTGCTGGCCAAGGCTGGCCTGGGGCTGGTGGAACGTTTGCTCGACAGACCGGCTTTGGCACCTTGCGTTGGTCATCTTTGTTACAAAATGCCTCCCAGCTTATGGAGTGAGACACAACTGTCACAACCTGGCCTAGCAAAGCTCCTCTGAATAGCCCTGCTGTGTTACCTTGTGTCACCTATGGCAACAAAGGCTATCCAACTACTGCTATATGGTCTCCATACATAAAGCCTTTAATCGGTACTGTTGTGTAATGTTTTATTTTTCCAGGGCTAGATATTTCATTCTGTTCTACATCAGCTCTTATCGCAGCCTCACAATCAACAATAAGGTCATCTCATGTGGCCTTACAAGATAAGCTGATAGGCCTCGAATAGATAAGGTTAATTTGGTTTGTTTTTTTGACTAATTAGATTCCTGACTAGAAAGTGGTTGACTGGCATATGGGTCTTTGGGGTAATGTTTCAATCTATTAACACTTTTGACCATATAATTCAGAGGTTAATCATGTTACACACAGCCATGGCAAGCTACGAGGGCACAGAGACATAGAAAAATATGCAAATGTATAGTAACAAGCCTATGAGTCTACCGTGTGGGCACAACAGTGCTTTGAGCTAAATCATAACGTGAACATGCTAGTCGGGGCGGTTGTAAATCACCTCGGTACTGTATTCCCTGTTGTCAAACTGGCCTCCTTCAGTCTCAGAGGCTGTGTTTGGGTACAGTCTGCCTATGTTCACTGGGTCCGTTTCCGCCTCTCGCCTGGCTCTCATTCTGGTGACCATTTCGGCACTGCTCCCTGCCAGCATTCCCTGCTTGACCTTTTTAAGTGACCGCACTACTAAGTGATCACCAAAGTGATTAGAAATCATCCTGAGGGGGTCGTGAATGAGTGTACCAAATTACATGGCTTTACAATCTATCCAATAGTTCACCTAAAAACACAAATTTCAACCTGGTGGTGGCGCTACAGGAAAAGTCAGGGGATCACCAAACAAAAAAAACC